CACTTAAAGCATAGTCTTCTAATTAACATGAGCTGGCAAGGCAAATTGCTCACCAGACACAACAATCAAAGCAGTTTTCTTCTACAGCTTGTCAAGGAACAAAGCTGTTGATATAATATATTATAAAATTCATTCACCAACATGCCTCAATTCCTTCTGCAGCATGAGAGACTCAAACCTTTTTTCTGGTAGCAAAGAGAAATTCTAACCATGCCATTATAGGTTATTCTAAAGGAAAAAAAAAAAAACACTCCTTACATGGTAAATTGACACACGTAGAAAGTGTTTAATATAGGGCCATACTTATGTATCCCCTAGTTCAGGCAAATGAAAGACTGTCATATTTTTCTCTTTATATGTATAAAAATTAGAAGCAATCTTTGTAACTGTGTACCATATCTGATCCTTTTTGCCTACATGACCAGGCTTGAGAACCCCCCTCCATCTGACTCTTTCAAGGTCCCAGTTCTGTTTTCCAAAGTGCCAGAGCTGCAGTAGAAGGAATTTGGATGGACCTCTCTCACCAAGCCCCCCTAAAACAGACTGCTGATTAAGAGCTCTGGCCTAGCCCCCATTCATGCTGAGAAATGAGGTTTATCCAGGTTTCCTCTGCCTTTGGCACAGGTTTCAGGAACTGAGCTATTGCACACAAAGGCCAAGTCCTTTCCCCCTCCCACTCTGGCTCCCTTTTAAAAGAAGACTTATGTGTATGACTTCTCTTTGTTCTGTATTCAGTTGCAGTAAATTTTCATCCCAATGTTTCAAACTTTTAGCTTGAAATTATAAGAATTGCAAAAAAATTTTGACTTTTCTGTAGTCTGTTCGCTATCCTATGGGGTTCCCTTCAAAACTAGGTGAAATGATTAATTCAGCACCGTCAGAATTGAAAAAGTGGCATAGCTTATAAAACAAAATCGCTTTTTTTCCCTTGTCAAAAATCTAGCCCAAGGAAACAAGAAATATTAATGAAGTCTCTGACTGTGTCTTTCAGTAACTTGGTATTTGAGCAACTCATTTCTGCAGCTCCACTTTATGCCAATTTGCTTTGCTTCCTTTCCAGTCACTTGGGGTTTATTTAATAAGCTCAAACATAAATCATTCACCACATACGAGGTAATTATTTATGAAAAATCTGCATATTTTCTTTTTCTCTGGATTTAGGTGAATTGGAAAAAGGTTTCCTATCAAATGTCACTGAATTAATCTAGGATTATTATTAAAAATATTTGTGTGTTTGAGTCTGTTCAATATCTGCAGGCAAAAATTCTGATTTAAATTGATCTTGGCAGAATCGGGCCCCTTAATCTTCCACTTGCAGCAAATGAAAAGCTGCAAATAAGGGGAGAAAAGAGCTCCTATTTGTGACATGCTGAGATTTTAATAGATCCCTTCAATAAATGCTATTAATGAATGAGTATTGGAAGGGGTGTGAGGCTGATGGATGCTGATGTGAATATCTGTATAATATCAGCTGTCATTCACATGCCCAAGGACGACTTCTAGAATTGCATATGAAAAAGGGAAGAGGAATAGAATAAATTAAAGAGGAGAGGATAATAGCCTCACAAATGTAAGGATTTAACACTGTTGTGAAAAATATTTCCTGTATCAAAGTTCCTGTATGACAATTTTCTCTTATTTAAATAATTTACTAATTTTACGGTTTCTTCATACATATTTAGATTTTTTCATTCATTTTCATGTAATATCAATTTGCCACTCTTAGATACCAGTGCAGTGAGATGATTTTAGGAAGTGGACTTGAGCTCTACAGTGAGAGGAAAATCTTGATTGCTACTAATATCATTTTATACCACTGAAAAGTGACAAAACTCAGTCTCTGGTTTAAAACTAGAGCATGGCTGCCCACACTGTCCATGTATCTAACCTTAATGCCCTCATACAACCAGACTTACAAAGCCTTGACTCTAAACTGTAGATGTGATTAAGCTGGTGAGTTATCTGAGGGAATCTCAGGAGACCAGGCAGTTCTACTCTGCCAAAGGCAGACACCATTAGCCCCCTGTCCTTCTTGAGAGTCATTGAATTATCTTCCTCTAGATGAAATATTTCCAGTGATAAAAAGCCCGTAGTTTACTTTGGAAATGAGTATGATGGGAATAATTAGGAAAGAATAAAAAATGCAAAAGCAATGTAGTAAGGCTGTAACACAGATCACATTTAGCAGTCATAATTTGATTAACAGGGAAAAAATATAGGAAGACAAGGAGTCATTTAAAAGCTCCCCGTGGTTTCTTATGCTAGTAGAAACACCTTGCCTGACCCTGCAATGTTCCACAGGACATAAATCTTATGTCATATTTGTTAGTCCTGTGTGGGTGTTTCACATACCCAGGGTCTTACAGATACATGGTGAGTTTAGATACAGAGAGCTGAACTGAAGCCTGGCCAACCGCTTTAGCTGAGAGCTGAATTTGTCCCCAGGCTTCCCTGGCTGCCTTGCCTGGCTCTCCTTGGGCTGCAATGGCAAGCTGCACTGCTGGCTGGCACAGGGACCCCTGACACAGTCACCTCCGTGCGGATATTGCACTCCCGAGATGACTTCCTGAGCTCTGGCAAACCAGCCAGGTGACATCACATGACAAGGAAAAGAAAACATTCATAGTAGTTGAATGGATTTCCTGTGTCACACACATGCACTGATATTTGCATATATCAGACCCTCATTAGCAGATCTGGCCGTGCATTAGGATTCTTATTCTTACAAAAAGCACATCCCTCTGAAGTTTTCTGCTTTATTCTGAATTTCAGGAAGGTGATGTAAGTCTCATCTGAATTTGCTGGAATCAGCACTTTAGCCAGTTTATGTGAGGCATTGAGAATGAAACAACAGTCATCCTATTGCAGACGACGGTCTTTAACTGTGCTGAAATAAATTCTCACTTAATAGGGGTTTCCCATATAATCAGATTGGTATAATAAATATTGAAGTTTAAAACGTAATTGAAAAATTAAAATATAATAATAGTTGAGATATATATTTCTTCTTTCTTTTCTTCTAGTCTTTCTTTTCTAAACATTTACTGTTTTTCCCTTTTTTCACTCTATTCTAGTATGAGGTTATTATTTGTAAAGTATTTTTAGTGACTGAATAGAGTTAAAGGTCTACCTTTCGATTTATTCCACCTCAGTCAAACCAGTGTGATATTAAACACGATCTTTTTACTTTGTAGATGTAAAAACAAACATCACTTATAGTAAGAATCAGTTGAATGGGACCTTTAGAAAAGCCAGGGATCTCTAGAATCTGTGGTTTATATCTTCATCTCTTTGCCTTTTGTCTAAATGAGGAGCAGAGAGAAGCTTAAGGAAGCCCACTTACTGTTTGACATGCACTTATTTATGCCATTGAGTCCTACCTACTTGTCAGTTAACTGTTATGTTTCGTAGTTTCACTCTCTAGCTAAAAAAAAATTAGTGGAAAATGTAGTAAAATCGGATTTCTAATAATTTCCATTGAGGGGAAAGTATTAAAAAAAAGTTGTTTTGTTGGGACTTAGGATATACAATTTCATTTGAAACCATATGAAAAATTCTCAGTGTTCTTGTGTAGGTCTGCAGACCGGCTGAAAAGAAGATATTGAGAAAAAAAGGAGAGTTACATATTAATTTTGACATTTTAGAAGCCTGAGTTCAGTCTGGAATTTTGTGTGAAACTTGGATAGCAAGGCATTGTACTCTGAAAGGCAGAACTGGTTTTAGCTGGAGACTCAACCAAAGGTTCAAACACAGTCAGTTCCTACCGATTGTTTAAGGAGATTTTAGGGTAAATCAGCTTTCTTTGGCCACGTGCCCAGAGCAGATTTTTCCCTTGCTGGCATGCTCGAGGCTTCAGCTGACTTCAAAAAAAGCTTTGGGTGTGTAGGTTCTGTGTGCCACTCCAGGATTGTGCAAGGCTTGTCTGAGGTTGACTGAAAAACTTCATTCTTCCTAAGCAAAACTTTGAATGGAACCCATACTTGATTCCTGTGAGAACCAGTACCCACAATTGCTCCTAGACCCGACTTAAATTTTTCTTTTTAAAGGTCTGCCACTGCAGCCTTTACTGATTGATTATTAATATTAAGCTCAATGTAGTATTTCATATTTCAATGACTCTCTATCATAAAAATACTTCTTTGACACAACTTGTAATGTTCTCTACTCCTGTGCATTGATTGCCTCCCGTGAGCTTCCAACCAGCAGAATACATTGGGCAAATTTACAGGTAATCTTGGTCTCACCTGGTGGTCTGGGAACTGCAAAATTTCAGCAACTCAGGTATTTCTGATCACTAGAAAAAGATTTTCTAAAATAATGATCAAATCACACAATAATATTCTGTTTCAGTATGTAACTATACTGTATTTGTATGTAATTTCAGTATGTAATGATAATGTATTTTAGAAATTAAATTTACTATTTGGTCATAGGGTAAAGGATGTCTATAGCTGGATGCCAAAGGAACATCATTTATCCCAGCCTGAGCTTCTTTGAGACCCTTGCCATGCAGATACTTGATCAGTTCCTATGGCTGTTGGGAATACTTGACTGTGACTGTGGAAACTTTAGGTGGGAAGGGATTTCAGTGGGAGGAAAGAGGTTTTTCATTTATTTCCAATGTAAAAAGTGGGCAGGAAAACATACCCTGGAGGAACATAGCCTAAATTGGATTATTCATTATCTCAGCTGGCATTTCTGAATCCTTGGCCTATGTTCCACGTAGCTCTGAGAAAACCTTTCTCCTCATCAGCAAGGACATCTCTAATTAGCATAAAAGAAAAATCACTATATCTTTTTTTTGCTGCAAATGTAAAGGTACTTTATTTTAAAAATGATATAAATCACAATTATACTAATGTCAAGCAGGAAACATCCAGAAACAACATGGGGGGTTGGTTAGTTTTTTAACAGTAATTTTTCAACCACTTTTACTTTCACCTTAAAATTATGAAAAAATATGCAAACATTTTCTTTCTCTTTGATACATTTGTGCATAGGAACATCATTGTCTCAGAATAAAGATCCTGGGGGATTGTTACTACTGTGTGTCGGGGCTCCCAGAACCTCGCCAGGACCATGCACACTGCTGTGTTGAAATGGGGCTCAGCATGATCAAAACTATCAGGTAATGCCTTTTTCTCCTCCTGGTTCATTGTATCTGGCAGTGCTCTGAACTTCTTACCCGAGAATGCTGTCACTGGACAAGTAATTATTCTGTTGGTTCAAAAATCTCAACGTTATCACTGTGAAAAGGACAGGACTTTTTTGATCCACGTAATGATGGGAACAGCTACTAAAATGATTTTATTAACCTTTTTTAACCTGTGCTACTTCAGAGAAGTAGCACAATAGCTGTGTGTGCAACTGAGAGGTTGCACAGCCCTTGGCAGTTCTCACTTTGTATTGTCAATTTCAAAAGGAGACTGAAGAGGAGGAGTCTGAATTGCCTCCTATAATAAAATTAAACGACAATATAAACACAAAATAGACAGCTTTGGCTAGCCTTTAGCTTGGAAACTAACTCATAGACAAACTCATAAGTACTGATATTTTCCAGATGAACAAATTTTACCTGCTAAATTAGGTTCTTGCTTAAATTCACATGCGCTGGAAGTGTTTTAATGAAGGAATGTGTTCCCATCATGTAAATATAATTATGTTGCTGTTAGATTATTGTATTTTGATGCAATTACAATTAATAACAATCGTGTTTCAGCAGCCTGTGCGTAGAGCTTGTCCAATGAGTTACCATGATATTGGCTGATATCTAATACTCTAAGAGAAGTTTTGTGCATCCTTTTGAGAATTATGAGTTTTTACCAATATAACGCATCAATAAACAAATTACTGAGTTTCTCATATGCAAATACTTTTTCTGTTGTTGTCTTCCCTAAAACAGTGTTGCCTAACACAAACACTCCTCCCTTTCCCTGGATATTTTGCTGTCCAATCTCTGTCTGCTTCTTGTCCAGACCTCTTTGTCCCTTTTATCTGGGTCTGTCTCATAACATACATCAGACAGTTAATACACATTGCAGCTGCATTACTGAGCTCTTAATAGAGAAAGAATTTGACTAAAATTAATTAATGGAAAATGTAACTGAATAATGATTATGCAACAGTGATATCTAAGAAGGCTGGATTCAATTATCGCAGACTAAATGTTGAACAAAGTAATCAATACTTTGCTTCTGGAATCCCCACAATGAAAGTGAAACATTACTTAGAGAACAGAGATGAAAAAAATCTACCTGTATTGTTAAAACTTTATGGATAAACACATCAGATCTTTTTCATTTCCTTGGTAAACACCACCTGCAGATAACCCATTGTAAGCCCTTTTTCTTCTAAGATAGTAAATTTCTCTCCATCTCCTTACACATGTGGAAGCCTGTAACACCCCATGCCCTTCAGTCAACAGGGTCTTGAGGGCAGTAATCCAGTAGAAATGGTGCTCTATTTTTAGTATCTTAAATGGCAGCTACAGTCAGTTGGAGCTGTGACACCAAAGTCCATCTGGACTTGGGTCATCCATCTCAGACTAATTCAGTTCAGATTACCTCCAATTTATTTGATAGTCCCAGTATCTGATTTTCTGTCTATGCAATGAGGATGATTCTTCCCCCAGGCTTTTCTGGTCAGAGGATAGGAGCCTGATGTTGCTTTGCTTAATATGTGTTTATACAGTTCACAGGGAAGACCAATCCTGCCAGGGAATATTAGAAATATTTCTGTCCACATTTCTGAGAGAACATGGAGTTATCTACAGTCTATTGATTAGAATTAAAGAAATAGATATCTCTCACAGATAAGATGAAAAAAACCACCCACTTTATAAAAGTGAGTTTTTCATCATATTGGTCCCCACAGAATTTTACCATATTTAAAACGTGATGAAAATTACATTTTGATGATTAGAAAATTTTTATCTTCCTCAGAAGATTTCAGAAAGTAAATATTTTTTAAGTCTAAAATTTTAAGGTGATGATCCAAGATATGAGAAACCATCGTTCAGATTTGAGAGCTGCATTGAAGTTATACAAACATTTTTCTCCATTGACAACAGGAGGTTTGGAATGTTGGACTGATCAGTACAACCCTTCTGGTGAGGCAGGGTCCAGAAAAACCCTGTGATCTCAGGACACCATTGCTGAATACTCATTATATTGTCCTTGATGACTCCATGGTCAAAGGGAATAGAACAAGAATGACAGATCCATTCATTACACAACATGTAAAATAAATCTACATGGACAGATTGTCTCACAAGGGACTTCTGAGTGTCTTCATATAGCTCATATCCATACAGCTAAATTGTTAATTTATTGTTAATTGTGACTCTACAACTTTAAACTTGAGTCTTGCAGCTCCACTATTATTTTTGCAGATGAAAGGAACTTTCCAGAACTCAACAAAATAATTCAAGATCATTATTTCTCTGTAATGTTTTCTTGCATCACCATGCTTTGTTAATAATCTCATAAAAGAAGCACTATTGTTGGTATTCCAATCTGTCTTCTTGTTATTTTCTCCCTTAACTGTTGAGAACAATTAATGGGCACCTTTTAACCACGGGAAGATTCCATGGAATCTGATATTTACTCCAAAATTAAGGCAGTTTTGCTCCACTATATTTGGCATAAGAAAAAATCCTCAGTCCATCTGCACTGCAAAATCCAAGGACCTGTAAATTCTGTTTAGTTGCTGGAAATGTGAATTTAAGTAAAAAGCACAATTTCTTCAATTGTATTCAGCTGGTTTTCTCATGCAGCAATAACTCTCATTGTGTTTAATTTTATTGTATCAATGCCTGTTTGTACTGACTATTGATGGAAATGGAATTCCAGTGGAATATTTAGTCACCAGATGATAATGTTTCATTTCAACAATTATCACTCAAGCTAAGTGCTTGTCAGGGAAAACACCACCTTCTCAAATGTCCTTATTCCTAAAATCTCTGTGACTGGGAGTAGAGGGAAGGGAGATTGTACGAGACTGAACTCCTCAAGGACTCACTTTCATAGTGTAATGATGGAAATGGCACAACATATAACAGTGGAAATTCAAACAAACCTTTGTGCTGGTATATTTGTTTGATAAATCTAGGAGTCCTGAGTTGTTTCATTTGTTGGATCATTTCCCACTAAGAACCATCTGAAAGAGTAACTATTATGACAGAATAAATGGTCCCAGCATGCAATATAGGCTAAACTCCAGAAATTAAATAACAGCTTGTCTTCATTAAAAGTCTGTAATTAAGTGCAAATATTAAGGCAAATTCATGAGAGAGGGAAAAAAAGGAAAACCAAAAAAACTCAAACAAAACCCACAACTAAAAGTACATCAATTATTTCAGATGACTGACTGCCCTGGCAGGTTTCCTGCTTTTAGCATGAAAAAGCTGCTTTTAAAATAATCTGTTGAGTATTAACAAAAATCATGAAGTGATCAATTCTTATTAAAGTTACTCAGGCAGTAAAAGAGACAGGAATTGTTTTCATATTCTATTATTAATAAATTATTTCATTATATAATTACATAGTAATATCATTCATCTAGTTCTGGATTCCCTCCACAGATTATTTCTCCTATAATCGACAAAGCTTTGCCTATTGCAATGAACTACGATTCACAGAAGAGATGATGTATTCACAAACCCAAAAACTAAGATTTAACTTAATTTCTGTGTGGTAGAGATGAATGGGTTCATGTACTTCTGCAATGTCTTTCCTATGAATGCATCAAGAAACACAGTCAAGGTCATATTGTAAAAATGGCATAGGAGTGTATATATATATATATATATATATACACACACATAAATATGTATATATATATGTATAAGTATATGATTTTATAGATTTTTCAAATGAAAAAAACAAACTTCTAATAATATTGTGTGTGGTGCCTTGCACTGTATTATTTTCCTACCCCTCATTGCAGAGTGACATAACAAAGAAGAATGCAGCAGTATTAGCTCTGCCCATGTAGTTACAGTTTCTGCCTGAACTCAGAGCAAGTCAATTATATCACTGATAGGTTTGACAACATGAAACGTCTCCAGGTAATAGTTTCTGCTTACATTAGATTCCATTTCTAAATCCATGGTAAACTCATCCTGGTTCTATTTTAAACTGGCTCCTTGGGAAAATATCTATATAAATTGTAAATTCAACTTGTGTAAAGTTTATCTATGATGTGTTACACCCCATAAGTCACATTGCCTGCACTGTACCATTCAAAGTGTTCAGTAGTGTATCCTGTTACCTAGCTTTTTTAATTAATGGATATCACCTTCACAGGTATAACACAGTTCCCACAGTCACACTGAAAAGACCACTTACCTCACTTCATCTACTGTCTTGTCATATCTGTTCCAAAAAAGCATTTGCATTCCTTTAGGAAAATTGGATAATTCTGTTAAGTTCAACCAAAATGTTCCCTTACAAAACTGAACCTTATGGTCAAAGGACAGTTCAGTTAGCAGGAGACACAGGAGATCACTTGTCCATCTTTGTGCTCACAGCAGAGTCAGCTGAGACCCTAACTTGCTTCAACCAGAGCACATAGACTTTCATATTCCACCTGCATGAGGAAGATAATGACCGTGTCTTGATGGGTAAATTGAACAACCCCAGAGAATTTTAGCCATCACTAAGAAAAAGTGGAACAGACTGGCCAAATGCACGCTTCGTTTTTTTTCGTTTTGCTTCCAAAAGACAGGCAATTGCATTCAAATTACCTACTAGAAATGGTCTTCATCACATACAAACTATTGAACCTGGGAACAGGTTGTGAAAGGGCTTGTTGAGAATGAAAAAGCATTCTGGGATTGTTTTAAGTATCTCAAAGCATAGACATAACCTTGCACAGTTGAACTGGTCAGCACAGAGACAGCCAGTGTGTCACTCTCAATCTGCAGGGCTTGAATTCCAGAGCATTCAGATTTTTAATAGCTACAGAAAAGGCTGAAAAGCAAATTTCTGACTTTTGGCTCACCTTCTTCATGCAAATAAAAGTATCAATTAACACCACAAAAATCAAATATCCAGCAAGGAATGCTGACCAGAAGGAAATTACAAGATCCAATTAAAATCATTGAATTTTTTATCTCTGGCTAGACTGAAATGAGATGAATGGCAAGAATAACACCAGTCACAGTCACCTCATCCAGGATAAGATATCAAAGCACTTCTGAGGCACAGAGGGCTGCTTTATAGATCATCAATAATGCATTAGTCCATGCACTTTGTCAACGTTATCTGCAGAAAGCCTATAAAGTAGTTGAAGAAAATACTTTTTTTTTTAATTAGAAGCTTCATTGACAGTTGGATAAATTTAGGAGAGAGAACTAGATGTGAAATACCGGAGCTTTTGCAAAATGATCTCTCTTAATTTTTTATCTCTACATTTCTTATCTAGTACATGATATTATTTATGAGAATTTTTTCTGAATAAGTTAGAACCACCACTATTGATGAAGGTGATCCAGGCTTTGCTATTTCAGGCTTTATTTTACCTGTATGTAAACAAGACCTCCTAAAGTATGTGGTAGTCTGGCTGCTAGGGAGTTGGATTTGACCATAATTAGGTCTCTTTCTTTACATAATTCAGAAATGTTTTTCAACCCACATCACTCCCAATTTTAAATAAAAAGAATAATTATAATTCCATGGTTTTTTACATTCTAACAAATCACCTCACCTTTAAACTTTTTAGACTTTGCAGAGAAATTTTTAAATAAAGTAAACCATTTATTCCTTGTTCAGTTTAATATCTTACAACAACATTTTCATGAAGACTATTGTTTCCACAACAGGTTCTCAACAGTTCTGCTTTCAGTCTTGTGTTACAAATAATAAAGTAATTTTAGTGAGACTAGATCACTCTTGTGCTTTGATTCATGTCCTGGACAGGGCTGTATAAATATATTTCAACTGCCTGTGACTTCATGCAATCAAGTGCCCTTCTGCATTTTCCCACCTATCAGCACAGGAGCACGTTGCTGTGCATGACAAGAGGAGGATGCAAAGACAGAGCCCTGCATGTGCACCAGCACTGCAGCAGAGAAACAGAATGTTCCTCAGCCAAAGAGTGCAGGCAGGAAGCCAAATCCACTCTGTGTGCTGAGGAAGAGCTGAGATCAAATAACCTGAGTGGCACATAAAGAGCTGCAGGGAGACTGTGAAAGATAGATAAGGCAAGGGGGAGGGAACCTTGGTTAGTGTCTGCAGTGCACTACAGGAGGTGGTGTGGACAGCACAGCTCTGTGAGGTTTTGGACAAATGCAGAAATCTTGTCTGGCTAATGGAGGATGCCAAAACCTTCTCAAGCCATCACCACATTTTTATGACAAAAGAAAAGTTAAATCCAGCAATCCTTCGTGAACTCTCTGGAAACAGAGGGACACATTGCTCAGTTGCATCACCACTGTTCTCTCCAGCAATACCTGCATGTTAGTTCTCACATAAGATACAAATACAAGACCACAATTTACAGGAATAGAATAGAATAGAATAGAATAGAATAGAATAGAATAGAATAGAATAGAATAGAATAGAATAGAATAGAATAGAATAGAATAGATCTACAGTGACTATCTAGTCCAACTGCCTGCCAATTCAAGGGTCACTAAAGTTAAAGCATGTTAAAGACATTGTCCAAATGCCTCTTGATCATGGGCTTGGAGCATCAATCACCTCAGTAGAAAGCCTGATTCACTGTTTGGCCACAGCTGTGGTAAATAAATGTTCCCTAATGTCCAAGCTGAACCTTTACTGATGTAGCTTTGAGTTATTCCCATGCACCCAGTCACTGGATCCCAGGGAGGAGTGCTCAGCATCTCCTTCTCTCCTTCCCCTCCCCCGGAAGGTGTTAGAGAACAATGAGGTCACACCTCAGTCTCCTCTTCTCTAAACTAGACAAACCTGGAGCCTTCAGCTGCTGTCACAGGACATAACAGCTGGTAAAATAAAAATGAAATTGGTAAAATAGCATGTGTGTCTATATATGTATAGAGGAAGATTACATAAATATAGGCTATTAAAACATTTTATTAAACTTAAGCCCTTCTTATTGACTGCATTTTCAAATGAAAAGCTTTTTGCTCAATTATTCCTCTAGATACATTTATCTTTTATTTCAAAAGAAGAAAATCAGATGTAAAATGAGAAATAATTGTCTTAGTCTGAACAAAAGGAAAAGGCAGACTGGAGAGACGTGAGGAGTTGTGTGATAATTCCTCTGACAGTTATGAGTGTTAGTTTAGATATTTTTGTAGCATATAAAAATTCTTCAAAATAGATTAAAATCTCAGTGATCTCACTTCTATTAGCTGTTCTCACAACATTTAAAGTGCTTTAGTGTGGAAGAGTTGTTGTAAATCCCATCTTCCAGGGACAGGTAATTGTTTCATTTTGATATTTCAAGCCCTCTTGCTTGCATGCAATGAAGAAATTTGTAAATGAAAACGATAAGCTCTAAGTATAAGAACACAGATAAATTCCCTCTCAAAGCTTCTCTTTTATTATTTTATGATCAACGATTTAAAACATTTTTCTCTTAGATATCTGAAATATGTTGGGTTCCTGATGTGATAAATAGGGAAACTACTATAGTGAGACTTATCATGTCTGCCTTTCTCCAAGTTTTCATAATATGGAGGGAAGGGAAATAAAGATGAATTTCTTATTTTAAATTTTTCACATTTTTGTGCAACCAATTTCTCTCCATTTTAGAACTCCTTGTTTTATTTTTTCCCTTACAAACTGAGCTGATGCTCTGTTGCAACAATGAGAGCTCCAGTATTGAATGCAGTAAGCCATTTACCCTTTTCTCCTCTACAGAGGGTCTGTCAAGGTCATTTCTGAGGCATCTGAGGGAACTGTAGTTAACTTCAGAGCAGGGAAATAGAGCTGTTTATTCTTTGTCTGCTCTGTGGTGTGATCTTGCTGTGCTTTATTGACTTCAGTGACTGTAGAGATGAGCCTTTTACAGAGTCACAGCAGGTTTGTAGACCACCAGCAGCAATATGCTTTCCCTATCCTGAGCACACAGTTTAAAGATTAATGAACACAAGCTCTAATACTATTTCTCCTGCAAACAGTTATTGTCAAACAAACCGAACTGGAAAAGCAATCTCTTAACAAATATGTTCATATCTGTTTATTTTTGAGAGGTGAAATGGTCTTCACCACCTCACAGAATGGACAAAACTGATTTTAAACTCATATGGTTATCATGACAGAGCAAATGGTGCTCTGGCCAAATCTAATGAAAATAAGTAACTCTGGAAAATCCCAATCAATAAAATAACATCTTTTAAAATTAAATATGAGTAAAAAATATACAAGAATATTAAAGAATAGACAGGTTTGATGAAAATAGTTCTTCTTCCTGATTGTTTCATACTGTTCCTGAACCTTTTATAATTCCAAGCTAAAGCGCTCAATAAGTCCAACAGAACACTGCCATTCAGACATCTTTTTCTTTTTCTCTCTTTCCCTTTCTATCTAATTGGAATAATAAGTCTGCCACTGAGCCATGCATGCAATTAAGTGCTTAATGATAACCTGGCTTTTAGAATAATTTTATCACTACTTTTACCTTTGCTATTTAGAAAGTTCTCTCTGCATTAAACAGACTAGACTGCACTTTACAGCTAATTGACATAATATTTTGCAGCATACTCTTTTCATATGGAAAATTGTGGCATATATTTTCATAAGTCTGGTCTTTTTCTTTGTGTGTTTTGTTTAACAGATATGTCAGATCAAGAACAAAACATGACATTGACATGAGAATAGGGATTCATTCTGGATCAGTTCTGTGTGGAGTGCTGGGCCTGAGAAAGTGGCAGTTTGATGTCTGGTCATGGGACGTGGATATTGCAAACAAACTCGAGTCGGGTGGAATTCCTGGGTAAGGCAAAGTGTATTTCCCACAGTCAGAAAACATTGCCAGCACATTACACTGTTAACCTTGCCAAGAGATTAACTGTCTTACGTCGTTGCATCAACTATGACCTTTTTTTTTTTTTTGCTATATTGCAGTTGGCAAGGATTAGTGAAGCTATAACCAAAAAAGGTAGAAATGGACAGCTTGTAGAGCCATTAGAACAGACAAGACAAAAATCTTTATCTTTCTTTTTCATCCTTGATTTTCTGGAAAAGATCAATTTTTGTTTTCAGCCTGCATAGTCCTCAGAAGCAACCCAAATTTCCCAGTTAGATGTTGACTATGCATGAGATTTTCCAGGCTTCATTCTCTCACCTTTTTCATTCAAATGTTACTATGAGGGACAAAGCTATAATTTGTTTTATTTCATAGTGCACAAAATGTGAGAGGAATTATGTGTTCATAAGTCAATATGCTAATAACAAGTTGTTATGAACAGTAGGCTCTCTAGGAAATCTTTTAAACAATTTGATGCTTTAGTAGATGTTTTGAGATATTTATCTTCACCTGTCTATATGTGAAAATGTATGGTTTTCCACTAAAAAAAAGCCTGGCTTTTTTCTGTGTCTGAGTGTCTGATGTGGCTGATTCACCTGAAAGTTGCATATTATTTCTGCCTGATATGGCACATATATCCTGCTAGTTTGGAAGATACAAATCCTAAACTTGAATTAACAGTAGTGATTGCAGGAATCTTCTGTTCACTTTCAGTTCCACCTGCCATTGATGAAAGATGTAGAAAGGATAACCTAGACAACTCCAATTTTAGCCATAGAATTTAGAAGCAATAGCAGCAGACATCTTTATGTGGAAAAAAGTCTAAGTGGTGCTGTCATCTTGAATGACAGAGATTTTAAGTCATCAAAACTGAGTCATGTGCTGTCCTCCTTACACACACATCAGGATCTGTCAGAGCTGTCATGTTCCCAGGAAACTGGAAGGAAATTTGCTTCATATGTTGCAAATGCAGGCCCCTTCCACAGTTCTACATAATAAACCTTTATTCTAATGTATTTTCTTGGAATTAGCAGAAAACGAAATTCTGCATGCTCTGAGAACAATTTCTGTACTCTGCATATGTCACTCGTATAAAATTTCAGAAAAAATTTTCGTTGCCTGCTGCTTACCCCACGCAATAGCCCCAGGTGACTGTGAGGATGCTTTGTTCACATGAGCAAATTGATCATCTAAGTTTCACCATCCACACCTGCAAAAAGTGGAGTCTATTGCTGCTAATGTGTGCAAGTCGTATGGCTGTTAATGAATAAGCCAGAAAATGCACAGCCTTGCTGTGGATAAAAAGCCTGGCAGGTTTTCAGTCTGTCAGAGCAGAGTGATTTCCTGGATATCAGTGTGCCAGCAGAACAAAGCCTGTATGTGACAGCAATGAACCAAGTCCCTCAGAATAGTGATTTACATCAGTTTCCTAGTGTGCAGAGCAGATTTAATAGAGCAGTTAAGCTCATTTCAGCCTCTCCTTACTTCTCCCTGCCACCAGCATTCAAATCCCCTACTTGTTGCAATACCGAGGTCATTCCCATTCCTAGTGCAGCTCCACAGGAAAGCTGCCCCGGGGTCATGAGCAGTCCTGCTCTCACGGTGTAAAACAAGAGCAAAGATGAACTGTAGCATTTTCCTGAGGGCATAGTGGAGAGGCGGCTGAGGATGGGAAACATCCTTTCACCCAGTCTGAGAGCAGGAAAGAAGGACTCAGCTCTTCCCCTCAATGCCTGCATGTCCTCCTGAGTGCCCAGGAGCATGGGTGAGGCAGGGAGAGATGGCACCTGGCAGAAGGAGCACCAGCCAGCAGCCCAACTGCTGTGGGAGAAGGTGGTTAGGAGCACTGAGAAAAAATGGCAATTTCTGGTTTCCTGAGTAAAAAATGTGTCCACAACACCTGCAAAGGAGACCTTGTAAGATTGTTATTTCAGTGACCATCTTCTGCCAGGATCCCATTTTCTAATAGTCTTTAGTTAGTGTATGTAGGTATTAATCTCCAGTACTGACTTGCATAAATCCTAGGTAATAATTAATTTTCAATGATGTCTCAATGACAGGTATCATTTAACACTGTAGGCCTGATATGCTTTCAAGAGTAGGTCAGGCAATACTTTTTGACTTCATTACTCAGGTTCCCAATGTACTGTATTCGTGTAAAATTAAAAGATATTGCTCCACATTTTAAGTTTTTTTAAAGCAAGCAGTACAAAAGGCGAAGCCAGAAAATACTTATAATCTGCCAACTATTTATAAATATTTGGCCCATTTAAGGGCATTACATCAATAGCTTTCTCCATACTAAGCTTAAAGCCGTTCATATCCTCATAATATCCATATTTCATGGCTTTATTACTCAACCTTTCTAAATATTAGTTGACTCTAAGGAGAGAGGTAGTCATCTCGGAAACTAGTGTCTCACTTTCTCTTTGTTTATTTTGGTTTTTTTTTTCTTTCGTTTTAGGTTAGTACTTAAATAAATTTAGCATGTTTGGATTTCTTAGAGCTAGGAAACGCATCTCTTTCTGAGAGGCACATGCTTTGCTGTTTAAGTCCAGGCCAAAAGTTGATTATATTTGATAAACATTTTTACTGGGTTTTATCCTGAGTTTTACTATTTTTCACTACAAAATACTACCAATCTCTGCAATCATTATAACAGCATGAGTTTGGAAAGAGAAAGTTGTACAAAACTTGGGAAGAGGCAGGGAAGTTGAGACAACTTAAAAAATGGCTAGGATACAAATTTTTGATCTTTTAATTAGATGTTGATATTTAATGCTCCACATGGACAGTTTGTGCCAAGTTCTGATACTCCTGGGCACTTCACACTCCTTAAATACAACCAGCATTTTATTTTCTAGCAATGCATATACATCATATATGCCCTTATAGTCTTTTATTCCATCAAAATATTATGATTCAATTCTGCATTGTCATCCTTTGAGTTGCAGAAGGAGGCTCCCAAGGGGCATGCTAAGACCATTTCCTTCACAGGAGGAATCTGAATTGTGGATCAGCAACTTAGCAAGTGTCACCAAGAAAGGATCAAGAATTTTAGCTCACTCTGAATATTAGGAATCTGTAAGCAAGTCTGTCTTTCAGAAAGTGACATGCACCCAAAGTTTAAAAAATTAACTGGTCGAAACAGTCACTACAACTATTGTCTTGGGTTAGATAAATGCCTAATGAACAACTCTTACTGCATTCATGATGCTGCATTGCACAGTATAGCATAGCTGACCATGTTGATATATTCTAGAGGTATCTGCAATTTTCCTACATTCAGGAACTTGAAGATTCCTTAAAAATAGTTTAGTTGGAAGACATCCAAATTCCTATCATACTCTTGCAAAATTTGAGCTCTTTTGCATGTAATATCTTAAATTCAACTTTACTTTTGCCAAACTTATTGAACTCACTGCTTAGTCTTAATAGAAATCATTACATAGCTTGCCTTTGCATAGTTCCCCTATTACCTTAATTCACTTCAGGTGCAATCAGACCATTAATTTCAAATGTTTAAGCTACTTCATGAAGGTGAAGGAAATTAAAGACCTTCATGTAAACTGCTCTAATGCCTACCATTTATTTTTCCCACATACTCCCCTGAAGTACAGTTTTCTTTCACTCAGAATAGCATTTTACCCAGGAGGGTCTCCCATTAAACTGTTAACTATGAGCAAACGTATCAGATGTGAACGTCAAAGCTTTTTTCCTGTGTCAGGACCTTGTGCATTAATGCCATCTTATTGATGTGCACATGTCTTGAGATTACTTGACCACAAATAAAGCTCATATTTTTAAATGCACTATTTTATTTTATTTTCATTGTTTGCCATAGAAAACTTTGTATTATCCATGGTGTTAAACAATACACAGAGTTCAAAACCTCCTTCTAACCTATGTACAATAGAGTACAGTTAGTATTTGCTACTACTTATTTCACTTATGCAGGAGGATTCACATCTCCAAAGCCACTCTGGACTGCCTGAATGGGGATTATAAAGTTGAAGAAGGGCATGGCAAAGAGCGCAATGAATTCCTGAGGAAACATAACATTGAGACTTATTTAATTAAACAACCTGAGGAGAGTCTGTTGACTTTACCTGAAGATATTGTGAAAGAGGCTGTCAGCTCCTCTGACAGGAGAAACAGTGGAGCTACGTTTACTGAAGGATCCTGGAGCCCTGAACTTCCATTTGATAACATAGTGGGAAAACAAAATGTAAGTCAAACTTCCTTTAATGTCATTGAGATGAATGCATGATTGAGTGCACTTCAATAATGAAGGCCTCAGAGGAGACAAATTCATCTTTAACCTTTATTCTAACATGTACTGTAACAGCAGAGGATTGAACAAATTGTTTCAAGGCAGAAAAAAATCACGTATCTAAACTGGGAAAATGCCAGTGAAACAGAGATTTTTAGTTCATTGTTTTTTTCTTTTTTCCAACTGAAATCAAATACTGTATGGCTTAGTTTTAATTTAACCACTCCATGAAGAAGTAATCAAAAATGAACCTAATGTTACTAAACTAGCTGGAACATTCTAGTCAGAGTATATATCTCATTGCATAGCTTCACTGTAGAGCCATCAAATTAAAGGGATGAGGGAAAGGACATTTTACCAGAGGAAAAAGCCTAAAGTAATTTATTGATATCTGAGGAAAGAGGAAAAAAAATAAAGCATCTTGTGAAATCAGGTTCTTAATTTCTCACTTTTTAAACAAAAAATATTAAAAACTCATACTCTAAGATATAATTAAGGTTGACTAGAAGATGAGTTAGAGTCTAAAGACATCTGCAGCTCAATAGAAATACGAGATAATAGCAACTTCTCCTGATCAGATGTTTTTCCAAGAGCACTGCATGGCAGATTGCCAGCAACCTGGGAACCAACAATTCTTGTACGGTAAAAAAAGCATTTTGTAAAGTCTGCTTGTTTAGAGGAATTAAAGATAGAAAGGTTAAAATGCCCTCAGACTCCACTCTTCTCACTGCACTTGAAAGATGGATGAGTTTTTATGAAGCAAGGTCAGCTGAAGTTTTCTTTCATTTTCTTTGGGGGATCTGTAATGACATGATATCCTTTCTTCTGCTGCACATCCTTATTCCTACTTGTCTGAACTGTCTGTTGAACCTTAAGCATTGTTGTGTGGAGGTCTTGCTTTTGTCAACTGTCTGCTGCTTCTTACAAATGTGCTCAGAAGTGATAAAATTTCACAATCAATCAGCCCACAGCAGTGTCTTCATCTCTTCAAACTGAATTTGAGCATGGCACAGTTTGCTGTTATATAAAACACCTGCTTTATATATGCTCTGTACATCTCTGTATCTGCATGTTCACTGCCTTACAGTATTCTCTGTATTTTGTTGACCTGTTTCTATATTGTCATTTCATTAGGAATAGAGATATGGGTGCATGCTGCTGTGAATATCTTCTGATCTCTCTCTATTTCTTTCCCTTTAAGATATTCCAATTTCTGTAGTCCAAAAAAATATATGTAACATAGCTCTCATTTTGTTGGTCGTTTTCTCAGCTAAATATGACCTTGATGCTAGCAAAGACAAAGAACAAACTAAAGGATTAGTGAGTTTATTCAATTATTGATCAATTCCTGCCCAGTCCTAGTAAAAAGGCCTTGAAACTAATTGAAATAGGCATAGCTTAACAGTTTCTTTGAAACTTTTTTTTTTCTTATGGCAACAAACAATCTACTTTTAGAACAGTTTCTCATGTTTTTTAAAGAATTTGAAGTGGTGTTGGGAAAAGCTGTAATTTTATATTACACAGTTTTACAATAAGCCTTTCAGTGGAGACAAGATTTTAAAAATCTGCTGTTCCATGTATGATTCAATTATTATATAATTTTTTAATTTACAGTTGAGACAATAGGCAGTATTGCTCATAAATAATGCATTTTAGCTAAAAAATTCAGATGATAGATTTAAATTATACTAGGATGTAGTAGCTTTTTCCAGAGGTGTGTCAGTCTTGGACAGAATAAGCATTTAATAACACTAATTAAGCAGCTTAAAGGTCACTGCCAGCAGCAGGCTTTGAGAATTGTAGTAGCAGCAACCCAGCAATGAATCACTCTGTATGTTTGAATATTTGCCAATAGAATTTAAATTATTTCTTTACCCAATATAAATTACAACAAAATTTGAGCAACTGATCACATGTATCTTACTTTTAATTCTAGTTATGTTAGGAAGCATGTGAAAAGAAATCTCTGGGGTGTTCTTAAGCCAAACTCAAATTTATCCCAATCCATACCCATTACCTCAAACTTGTATTTTATGAGCAGCTTGAATCAGTGAATTGTAGATGTGTTTATGTGAGCAAGAAACAAATAACCACTTTTTATGTAGGCAGTCACAGATATCAGCAAAAACTATACCTGTCTACAGCCCAATTATCACAATGTGCCCTTGCTCTGATTGTAAGGTAAGCCAAGGGTGGAAGTTTTTGTCAGAAATTCAGACATGCCCAATATAAATGGAGGTCTCTGGGCTTCTTTCTTAAAGCAGAGAAAATTGGACAGAAGTTATTTTACTTCAAGAGAGTAAACTCCTCCTCCTCCTCTAGAATGAATTAATGGCTGTTTAAGTTGGATTTCTTCCATGTACATTGCAAAAGGAGAAGCTGAAAACATGGTCACTGTATGTGCTGGTGGAGGCACCTGATGGGTCAGGATGTGAATTAGGAAAAACAGCATATTAAAATGTCATGTCTTCTATAGGAGTATCTTAGCAGTGATTGCAGTGAAGCTTAACAGTGAGCACAGAAATTACTCTAAATTGCACTGCCCAGATGACAGACAAGTCTAAAAGGGTAGAATTCAGTTCAAAACCAAGGTACCTGCATGTTTCAGCTACCCCATTGTTATTGCTGTTATTTCTATGCTGAGACACCCCAGCTGCTCCTCACCACTGACCAGTGGCACGCGGGGTCCCTGTCCCTTGTGCCACCTCTCCTGGCTCCTGACTGTTGTCCAGTTCCCTAAGGCATCTCTGCTGACCACTGCTACAGAGGATTGGGCAACTGAAAGTGTCTGGAGTGTGTGTTGGAAGAAATAGAAGTTTAGACACTGAGCGAGTAGGCACCAAGCTTGTAGATACCTTCATTTCGGTGTCTTCCTCTTGAACTGAATTCTACCTTCAACCTGTCTTTTTAAGCATATGACCTTTTATTTTCCTATTTCCTTCCAAAATCTGACACTCACAGTATGAAAAAAAGAATATGAAACCTTCTAAAGATTTTCTAAATGGCACAGATTAAAAATTTCCCTTCTTGTTGGGAGCAGGATGCTTTGACTTTCTACAGGAAAACTTCCCAGGAAGGAAGTAAAATCTAATCTATGCTAGCTTTTAAAGTCTCTATAAAATATGTCGAAAGTTGGAGCTTTATTATTTGTTTGCTTTAATTCATCTTCTTTCAGTTTCAGATGCAAATTTGTCTAGGCTTTTTTTTTTCTTTTTTACTTTTATTCTTTTTTTTTACAGAACTTTTTTCCTGTATGATGAATGGTTATTGTCAGCATCAGAAAACTTCAAAAGCTCATTGTAGAATTCACAACTGTGTCTTCCATAGAGCTGCTCACAAAGTGTAGGAGAGATAATAGGAAGAATCAATATTTCTTTGTGTTTTCATAAAGAAGTCTTAAAAAATGCAGAGCAAAGAGGAGGATAAGAGATAAAATGTGGTTAGAACTTATTCTTGAGACAATAATTTGCATGATGTTTTTTCATGTTTTTTATTCCTAAATCCAAGGAAGCAGTTTTCTTAAGTATGTGCATGTATGCGAGGGAGAGAAAATGATGAAACACAAATATGAATTTCCTTGTTATACTGTGAATATAAATGTAAATTCAGACTCTATTTTTGCAAAATACTGCAGGCACCATGGCCATAGTGGTGATATTATGTCATGTTCATCTACCATGACTTGTAAAACACTTCATACATTCAGCAAGGAGACAAGCCTTCGTATCAATCACAGCTTAAAATAGAATTTTAACCAAAATATAGTTCTTACTAGGATGAGCTGAGATTATTTTCTTCATATAAATAAAACAAAATGCTCATCAAAAACATTAGGGACATTCTCCACCCTCGTTTCCAGTGCAGAAGCAGAAACACAAGGTAATTCTGAGGAATCAATTTACACACCACCATCTGATGTGATCCTATCCTTTAACAGGCACTTCAGACACCCTCATGCCCTTTCAGCCACCAAAAATTGATAAAAGCTTTTCTTTCTAGCTCAGCTTAAAAGAGATCGGAGTACTTAAACTAAAATAGTGTCACAGTGTGTAATGTTATAGCATTTGTCCACTTGACTTGATTGTTTTCTCCAAGGCTAAGATATGAATTCAGACATATCTGAAACCCGAGCATGAGAAAAGTTTCTTTGATACTGTTTTTTCTCCTAATGTTGATGATACTGATTTTACTAGACAGAAGGATTCAAGTAGAGTGTCTTCTCAAACCTACTCTACTGAAGTCCTTTTTCTGCTAAACAAACAGGAAACTGCTCTTCACTTAAACAGAGAGCTTTCAATCCTGACAAAATTTTCTGCCTGTATTTTGGGATCTTAAATTACTGATAATAAGGTGGAAAATGAAATGCTATCTGTGACTGCGGAATCCATGGACTTGCTTTTAGCATTGTAAGGAAAGTTGTCCCCTGGGAGTTGGCAGTGGGTACCTGAGACCCTTCCTGTCCCTTCCTCTGTTCTATTGTGCTGTCCAAGATTCATGAGAATATGTTTGTTGACTCTAGTTTGAATATCAGCAAGGGAAACCTCCCTATAGAATTAGCCCAATGTAATCCTGTGATAAAAAAGAATTGGCTTTCCAGGGGAATCTGGTGACAAAACATCCTAAGCTCCTGTTTCAATAATGCCCAATAGGAGATTGAGCTGAAGGTCTTTTCAGGAAGGACCTATGGAATAACTTTCTCAGGCAGAATTTTATTTCCCACCCATAATAATGCTGAAATGGCTTATGCTATGATGTATGAAGTTTCACATCCTTTCCATTCATTAACATTTCTTAACCCTTGGGAATATTACAGTAGCAGAGTTTATTTTCCCATTCAAGTGGGAAAGAGCTGCTTCACTGTGGTTTGTGTCATGAAATGAGAATGAGTTATTCTCTTTATGAAAGCTAACTAACTCTTTGCTGAAGATGAAACACTCCTCATACTATATCTGCTAGATTTCCTTTGTGAAGCAAAAGTATTTTTATTTTTCCTTTGATTAGTCATTGAAATACCAAAGGAATGAAGCATTTGAGATGGTATTTTAAATACTAATATGAATTACAGTTAAATTAAATCACATAGCCTAACTGTAATCTAGATTGGCTGAAATATACCAGTAGTGAAGAAGAATATATTAGCTGAAAACCCATGCTGAAGTAATCAGAAATGTCACCTTCTTCACTCCTGACTAAGTGATCTGTTCCTTAACTACACACATCCAGTAACTTTGAGATAAGAAAACTTCATTACTCCTTTTTTATGGGTTTCGTTTTATATGGCTTCCATTATTATTTATTAAAACACACCATTGAGTCAGATATCCTGCTGTGATTTTGGCGTGTGTACTCCCCTCATGCATGCTTTAATAACTAAATATCATATTTGGAAAGGGGAATACAGTCCTAACGCTCAGTGCAGCAAAAAACCTTCTAGCCTGTAAAAAAGAAGGCATTGAAACACTCCCCTTAATGTACTGTATGTGTTTAGAGGAACAGACTTATTATTTTACACTTCTATAGATTTCATTGAATGAATTGCATGGAATGCTGTAATGGTTTGCAATGCAACATGAACTAAAACATTGCATTTTTAACCCAAGGGGACCAGCAGGTTTATTCTGTTTGCATGTGCTTTCCCCTAGACTCTGGCTGCCCTAACAAGAAATTCAATAAATCTGCTTCCAAACCATCTTGCACAAGCTTTGCATGTCCAGTCTGGGCCTGAGGAAATTAACAAGCGAATAGAGCACACCATCGACTTACGGAGTGGCGATAAATTGAGAAGAGAGCATATCAAGCCTTTTTCACTGATGTTTAAAGACTCCAGCCTGGAGCATAAGGTAGCTGGGGCTTGGTAGCTGCATTATTCACAATTCAATTTGTAATAAATGTTCACTGAAGTAGAGAAGATGTAGGTTCTGGCTTGTGTTGGTTTTTTCTTGCTTTGTTTTTGTTTTTCTTTTTCATTTGGTTTCAGTTTTCAGAAAGCGGGGCTGAGCTAGAGTTCATAATACACAGTGACACCATGCAGGTGTTATAATGCTGAAAAGATTGCATTTCGTTGTTGGAAAATATGTACAGTGAACAAACTCAGATTCTGAAAACAACAACCACTGGCTGGGTTGAACTTGGTATCGAGTACAAGCAGCTTTTTGTCGTGACAGGTTACTTTGGCACAAACGATGATTGAGCATATAAATACATTGACATTTCTATTCAAGAAATATATATCTATATTTATATAGATATGTTCCTTCCATTTAGTCATAGAATACCTCTGATGTCCTCTATGCAGCTGCAATATTTATTTCAAGTCAACAGTAATTTTTCAACTCTCTGTTTTAAGCATCCTTCTTAAAAAACCTGTTTCTAAGAGCTAAATATGGTTCATGTCTTTGTTGCTTCTCAACAGCAATATGATCTCATTAATTTCTCTTTCAGTCTATATCCAGATGTAAGTTATAAGTTTTAAAAGATAAGGTAATCAGAGAAAACTACTTGAAAGCTGATGGCATGGAGTGAGGTTGCCCAGATCTCAAATAATTTCATTGACTTTCATTGATAATTTCATGTGCTATGACAGTGCAGCAACAGCAGGTCTGAAATACTATGTGCACTTGACTGAAAGGAAATAAAAATAGTGGGGAATTGGAAGCATGGAGGTTCACTTCTCCATCATCACTCTAACTCCCACTGTAAAACAGATATTTTTACTTGATTTATGACAGACTAGTCCTCAGGAAGGCTGAGAGTTTTATCAAGAAAACTGGAAAAGAAAAATTCTTCTTGAAGTATATCTAAGCCCTTATTGCATTGGTAATCTTGTAGAATAAATTAAATGTTTGTTAAAACAAAAACAGAAGATTGCATTTCACCATGAGAATATTTACACAAGGTAGAACCCCCAAAACCAAATTATCCACAAATAATTATCTGCTGAAAAGGAAGATATGAAGATATTTCTTTCAGTGCAAAGCTAACAGGGACCCTGAAGGAGCGAAATTCAAGATCTCCGATATCACATAAATTAGTAAATAAAGTCCCAAAAGTCATGAATAATTTTTAATCTTTTCAAGATACAAGATAAACAATTATGGTGAAAGAATCTGAATTTTTTTGTTTAAAGGAGGAAACAGCCTGGTCACAAACAGCTTGATGAATGAGCAAACTTGCCTTACTCTGCTATTTAATCACACAAGGCCTGAACATGGGCTGATGTAAAGGAGCCCTGCCCAGAATCAGATCCTATATCCAGAATATAAATTTTCTTACTCTTTATTTTCATGATTGTCAGCCACAAAGAAACAACTATAAGGGAAGTGTAGAATTCAATTTAAATGCAATTTAAAGAACTAAAAGAAGATCCATGCCCTAATCCATCACATTACATAGGTCAGATTTAAAATATATTAATAAAGTTTTTAATTGCATCTGAATGCAAAAAAGTCTATTTAAAAGTTAACATTTTAACAGATTTGATACAGTCTCTTCCCAGTAGGACGTTTTCGATATAAATTTGGGCTGTAGTGTTTGGAGAATTATGCTTTTATTCAATATTTCCTTAGGTGTTAGTCCCAACCAGTAGGCACAGGCAATAGAAGCATAAAATCTGTTCAGCAAAGTTGACTGAGTCTATTTCTGTTCCAGAAATTAATCTGGTTTCTCATATTAGGAAGGAGTAAAGTTTAAAAAAATATCACCCCTGCTTTATTTGTTCTGGCACATCCACCTCCAACAGCTGGACAGCCTCTGGTCAGCAACCTCCTTCTGTTCAGGGCACTGGGACACCACGAGTGTGCTCAGACAGTGATGGGGAATGTACCAGGACACAAAGGAATGATGTGGATTAAGGGAAGATAAATCATAGTGTCCTCTTTGTTGTTGGCAGGAGCAATTGTCTTGTGGGACAGCATGGGAAATGTCCCTTCCCTCCTGCATGCCTGTACAGTAATTACAGGTCTGTCCTTGTAACCTTAGTGTTCAACCATAGGTTACAGGAAGTCATGGAAAAAGTAATATTTGAATAATTTTCCTGCAGAAAGCAGCTATTTCCTCCATCCTACCTTGTTACTACCACTTTCTCCCTTCTTCCAGTCCATTTGGGAAACTCACCAAACTCAGGTTTAGAATATCACAAAGCTCTTTCAGCAGCCTTTTCCCTCTGCTCCCCCCACCCCTAACTTTTCAGTCAGGAATTAAGAGATTTTTTTCTAGCCATTAACATTTTGGTACTGCTTACATGACCTTCTACACCAACACCTTGACTGCTCCCCATGGTGTCTGTGGGTATCCCCTCTCCCACTGCTGCACCCCTTGGCTGACATTCACCTTCTGCTCAGCACAGTGGCAGCTTCAAGCCAGAGGGAGCTCTGAAGCAAAGTAACCTCCCCCCTGTAAAATCCTGTGCCCTCTTATTTAGCCATCACACTTTCAGGTAGCACTGGCATCTGCTAAATTCTCATTTCTATAAGCTGTTAGTGCCTCTCACCCCAGACTTTGCACTTTAGAGGAGACAGAAAAACCAGCAACCAAAGCTGAGATCCTGGCAAAGAAGTGTTACCTTTACCTTGTTCAGTTGGAATTGTGTTAATGTTCTGCACTTCAATTGACAGAAAAGTCAGTACCCACATGAAAAATAAACTATATTTCTTCCTCCTGCATTAGTAACAGGACTACCATGATGCAGGTGATATGAAAGCATCTGAAATGTTATACTGGACTTCAGTTTGAACAGTCTGGGTTGGTTTGAATTTTTTCACTATAAAACAATTCCAGATATTGGCTTTACTCTAGCTATGAAATTTCTGGTTTTCTTCCTGTAAGACTTCAAAAAGTTTAAAAAAAAAAAGCCTTAAACCGTTCTCGAATCAACAGGCACAAAACTGCCATGGAGCTAGAACAGATCCTGGTTTACACTGGTTTAGAAAAGTGTTATGTCTCTGCAGTTTAAGCCACTGGAACATCTTGCCACTCCTCTCTTATCTCATTGCTCTTTGTCCTTCTGTGGTGATAAGTGTGTATTCCACAGCAAGCAGTAGCAGTTACATTAGAAAATGGGCTATCTCTCTGAGGCATTATGTATATTCCATATGAATTCTGCAATACTTAATTTTTCAGAGGATTTGTGCAGGACCCCACCTGGTATATTTTATAGATTCTTTACCAAAATGGACTAGTCATTACTAACCTGTGTTTCATTTATTAACACTCAATATGTCATTTAGAAACCCTCAATTTTGCTGGAGATTTTTTTCACAAATAGCATGTAGGCAGATAGAACTCATCACAGGAAAGTAATTCAAATGGTAGCATGAAAAGATACTAACATTTCCAAATATATAATAGCTCATAGGAAAATCTGATACTACTTCCGATTATTCCAATAATTGAAATATATCAGCATGATGATCTCCCTAAATATCAGTAATTTGAAAATATCCATGCCATTTACTTTCATACAAGGTAAAGCACAGGCACGGACAGGGAATTTGACATGCTGGTAGAGATTTATTAAAGGAAGTTTCCAATGTAAAGATTTAGATAAAGATATTCAAAGTCTTCCTGCATATTTGTACTTGGATTAGAAAACAGTCTGAGCTTAGACATGAAACATTTACGTATTTTCTGCGAGGTGAGCACACTGGAAATATCAAAAGAGCTTTGAATTTCAAAGTACACATTTTCTTAGTTCAAATATTAGGCCAAAATATCTGAGTTTCTCTCTTTCAAAATTTCTGACTGGTAAGATAAATAGAAATTACATGAGTAGGAAAACAATTTTGCTCTTCCTGCTTGCTGTAACTCAGCAGACACAGGCATCATCTCCTTCCTTCAACTCAGAAACTTCCATTTGCAAGGAGGTTTGTAAGAGACGCTGGGCAAACTCTGCGCCAGTTCAGAGTCTTTTCTGTCATTGGTCAGCAACTGGATCTCTGTCTACTCTTTGGTCTTCTCAGGAGTTCATTTCCTCTCCTGTCTTAGACTTCTTGAAACTTATTCTTCCATCCCTCTCCTGCATCACAGAAACTTTTCCAACATTACTCTGATGAAGAAAAAACCTTGTCTCCCTTTTCATCTATAAGGTCCTGTCTGAGTCACAGACCAGCAGTGAGGATAAGACCAACAACCTTCCTCCCTAGTCCATAAACATTTTCTTTAGGGGAACATGTGAAGCCTGCTATATTACTGGTGCTCCCCTTTCAAAGAGGCTTTGGAAGAGAGAGGTGAGGAGTAAGCAGCATTACTCAACAGAAGAAACCAGAAAAAACCTTTCTCAGCTTCAGCCAGCAGGCTGGGCAAGCACATGGATAAACTGTTCCTCCCAACAGTGCAGGCAAATGGCCCAAGCCCCATGGGAGCCTTCACTGTGCCCTGAGTAAGTCGAGGTGGCTCTGTGGGATGCTGCAGTGAAGGTTTGCACTGCAGACAAGGTCACATCACAATTCTTCCTAGCACTCTACACAGCTTTCGTTGGGTAAAAGCCTCCCCATGCTTTTTGAAGGGCCTTGAGGCTTAGTCAGTCCTTCAATTATTTCTCCAAGTCATTAAGGGGTAGACTGCTACAGAAGTGCTACATTTATCATTTATGTCAGTGCTGCCAAGGGATGTCAACAATTCCTCATCACAATGTTGTTACTGATTAGAACACAGCATCCATCCTTTTGACATAATGCTCAACACAGCAGGCCATTCTATGTTTGTGTTTCATTCATCTAGTTTGCCTTAATTTCCCTATGGAACAGTTGGGATTTCATGTTATATTTTAAGGAACATACTTTTTCTTTTTCCTTATTTGAAAAAAGCCCTATATTTATGCAGCCTGATGCAGTTCTGTTTTCTTGCATATGAAATCAGGGTCAGTGCCCCTGGGGTTCCAGCAGCAAAATGAAGTGGAATTGCCTGTGAGCACTATCAAAAATAATGCCAAAATGATACTGCCAACAGCAGACACAAGGAGGGGGAGAGTCAAAATGAGGGACACCAACAAATGAACCCCCTCTCTTACTCATGACAAATAGGAGCAGGGAAGTGAGAAACCTTTTTTCTGTCTGAGAGCTTGAGACTGTTTTGACCAGATATTTATAGCTGAGATGATGTTCTCAACCAAAGGTCCATGAAGGGAAAATACTCAATTTCTAGCTAGGATCTCCCTTCAAGAGCAAGTCAGCTATGAAATCTAGTTTATAGCTGGACTCTCTCAGTATATGTTCTTGACACATTTCTTTAAATTTTTTTAATGTTATAATGTTTTCTAGCAATTTATAACAGCAGGTTTTCCTATTTCCAAATTTCTGGAGCGGGATTCTGGTATGTGATATTGCTTTGAGTCTTATAACCTTTTTTCTATACCTTTAGAACTGCGAAGGTTTAAACAAAATGAAGTTATTGTTCAGAGGAAGAAAAATGTCTGGGGCAAGCCTTTGCAGGATTTCTTATAAGACAAATAAACTTTGGTGGCATCCATAAAGGATATAGAGAATTAAAAAAAAAAAATTCCTATGGACTAATCCTCATCTGCTGTAAACAGCTGCAGTTTAATTGAATTAGCAATGATAAAGAACAGCTGAGGACTTGGTTAATATTTCCACTTTAACTGATCCACTGCAGTCTATTGATGTGTCTGTTACTCCTTTTCTTGGTAATTCCCATATAAAAGGGACCTGATAGCGTTCTCAGTTGTTTGATATGCTGGAGAAAGATATTTTTTCAATAAATCTTTATAACAATGCACCTCAAATAGTCTTTTACATTTGGAGAATGCCCATACCACCAAGTTTCCATACAGCCTCTGAAAAAATTAGGATACAGAGTTCCAGCATTCCAGCATTCCAAATAGGCACAGAATTTTCTAATTATGTAATTTTCTTTAAAAAGAAAATTAGAAAAAATAGCAGAGCAGCCTCAATTTGGCCATCATGGAGACACCTCTGTGCCATCATGCATGCAGATTCACAGATGATTCCAGTTCTTGTCTTCATATGAGGAATTTCGTGGTTTCTTTTGTTATTAAGTATTTTTATTAAGCAATTAAATGTTTAGTATTCTACTCAGCAACACAAGCTCCTGGTATCTACCTTAGGGTTTTTAAAGCAAATAACTTTGAATTAAGTGGAAAGATTTTGTATTGCAAATTAGAGAGTTTTGCTCTCTTGGTTAAAGTATTTTACCAGATTAGTAGCAATTTATTTGATGGGTTTGATTTTAAAACAAAAATTAAGGTTATTGATTAGTTGGTGCATTGTGCTAATTTTTCCCATGTCTCCTATGTATATCAGCCATAATGAAACTACTGCATGTGTTAACAGCTAATTGACTTTTCTGTGTGTGTATGTGTTTGTTTTTTTCTAGTATTCTCAAATGCGGGATGAAGTATTCAAATCAAACTTGGTGTGTGCATTTATTGTTCTTGTATTTATCACCGCTATCCAAAGCTTGCTCCCTTCTTCCAGGTAAATACAGAAATCTCTCTCTAGATATTTGAAGGCACTCTTAGGGTCACAGTGGAATAACATTTTTAGGATTGATGCACAATGAACCAATAAAATGTGCTTATTCCCCAGAAGTGTTTGGAAATATTTGTTCACTTTTTTGCAATACTAACTACATTTTTACCACATTATCTGCAGTTACATGTTTTCAAGTGAGACAGCAGCATGTACTGATGTTATGTTGTTACGTTTTCAAGTAGAACTACCATCAAGTAAAGTGGAAATTTTGGCTTACAAAAATTTGCCACAGTGTGTCCTGGTGAAACATGATCCAGAACCATAGCTGAGCCTCTTTGCTAAGTGATTGATAATTACCTTGGGTATCAGTGACTCTCCCAGTTTTGTTTCATAAATGCTTTGTAAAGAGAATTGAACTGCTTGCTCTGCTGCTGACAATGTGATTTGCCCAGCTGGGAAAAGCAGTCTCAGGCCATCAATAAGCACAGAGTGATCTGGTAGATCTGTTTTCATTTCTGCTCTTCTTTGGAGATGACAAAGCAATATATTCCTATCAAGGTGATGAAAATGTGACATAGATGAGACCTCGATGTCCACATTTCACAGGCTCAAGCCCATCATTTGGCATTTTTGTCTAGAATTTAATAATGAGATCATAAGAGTGTGCAAGGACTGACGTTAGTTTTCTAGAACAGCACTGCCACTGTAACAACCCTCTGGCACCATTTGGTCTTTGACAGAGCAAGTGTTAGAAGAGAAATTCCCAGATTAAAAAATTTCTGAGGTAGTTTCTAGCACTCACATGAACTTAAACTTATGGCTTGCAGTAACTTTGAAAATACATTATTTGTACGAGAAATAAAACATGTTTTGTGTTACAGTAGTGCAGCAGGATTTCTGAGATCATGTCTGGAAGGCGTGAGTTCCCAGGTTGATGTCTGAGAGCACCGAAGTGATGGTCAGGTGCAGGCAGGCATTCTGCAGCAGTGCTGTCTCGTGTTTTGTAATTCTCAGTTGAGAAAGTACAAGAGTAGTACATGACCTTCTGTTGTTCCTTATGTGCTATATTGCCCCTAGTAAGTTTACTTCCTTATTAACAGCTCTTCTCCCAATACACATTTAAAGTTCCTCACTTCTGGTAGATATTTTTGTTCGTTTGGATGTTTGTGTGTTTGTTTATTTTTTTCCTCAGTACGTACAAGAAGATTTATGGATCTTATTAACAGAACCTGTTTTCCAAAAAAAGATTTCTGCTGCTATATCAATCACTGCCATACCAGTGTTAAAAAAAAAAAAAAATTAAAAAAAAGACTTTTTTTCTATCTGCACAGTTTCATCTCTGTTAATTTTTGTGAGGGTGTTTAGTGCCATTGGAATGAGGGAGAAGGAGTCACACAAACACATTGCCTGCAGCTGTCTCACCTCCTAGTTTCTCATCTTGCCAGTAGTCTTGTGTTTTTCCCTGAGGACCTTTTTGTCACTGAATGTTAGAGAAGCTGTAAATACAAATAGGTCAAAATGAAGATTAGATAAATTCCTACAAGAAAAGATCTGCAGAGGTTTTTTAAAAAATATGACCTTGTCTTCAAGAATACCCTGAAAGCTTGATTGCTGGAACCTGGGAAGATATTTAGGGAAAGGGTATTTACCACTACCCCTTTGGTGAGAGAAGTTGTGAAGATATTTGGGTGTTTCATGGTGTTTCCTATGTTCTGTCAGGAGCTGAAGATCACTGTCAAGGCTTAAGGAGACAAATTTTGGTCTTTTTTTTTTTTTTAAAGTTCTGATACTCTGGTTCAAAAAGAGTGTTTTGGTTTTTCAAAAAGCATGCCTGTCAACAGATGAGCAACCCTAAAATAACAGGATAGACGTTTTGAGTGAGAAGGTTTCAATATGCTTAAACATATTGAATGAGAAAATAATCTGGCAGTTCAAATTTCCTAAGATCTAGTTCTAAAAGGAGTTCAAGATGTGAGCAATTGTACAAACTATCACAAAATTTGACAGGATTTGGATTCAGAGAATCCTTCAAATAACTGCATATTCATTTGTTACACCTCTGGTAAATATCAGAGCAGTAAATTACTAGGGTGGAAAACCATGGAAATAATTTCCATGAAACCACTAACAAACTATAATTCAGTCCTCATGGTAACTTGCTGAAGTAGATGCATGAATATTTTTTGAGCTGAGTCATTCGGTTTCTGAAAATTTGGTGAAAAATGCTATTTAAATTGTCATATAACATATATTACTAAGGCTCTTCGGAGAGTTTCCCAGAGAGTTTACCTTAGTCTGTGTGTTAAAGAAGGAAATCATAACTCAAATCTAATGTGTATGGAAGTTTCAGAATTTTATCTCAGTTTATATCTATCTCCCTAAGGATAAATATTTGATCCATTCATACATTTTTCCCTGACAGGGCAGATGCCCTGAATTTAAAAATATTTGCAATAGTTTTTATTCTTTGAAATATGGAGTTGGGGAAATTACTGAAAGTCAGATAAATTAATGCCATATTTTTTACCATAATTGTCCTCTATGAAACCATTACATTACATTGCCAACCTTGCAGTGATTCATCTTCTCCATCTGAGAGGCCTGGGAGTTTCATTAATTTCCTGCAATGAACTCTTTATATGCTCACATGGACAGTACGTCTTACTAGAGTAGACTGCTGAAATACTCATATTTCTGCTCATTTTTCACTGGGCTATTCTTATGAAGGAGAAAAGCAGATTTCAAATTGTTATTAATTTAAACACTTGCATCTTCTGCTTTACATAAGTTTTCCTTTTGGCTTAAATCAGTTGATTTAGGACTGCAAGCTCTTTTTAAACTTCACTTGATATTGGAAGTAAGAGAATCCCTAAAAAGAAAATCAATTGGTCTTGACCTCTTCTTGACTGAAGGGGTGATATAAGCCAGGTGTCCTAGATCTGGGAGAAATTCACAGATAGAAAATTATTACAGTTTTTTGTTCAGATTCCTCCAACCTTTTCTATGCATTTTATTTATTTGATCCTATCAGCATGCTCCCATCAAAATCTTAGCACAGACACTGGATTTTTCATCTGAGAGGTCATATTATGCCACCTTCAGTTCTGTTTTTAAATCATGCAGGCTTAGGCAAGAGACAAGCACATCAATCTTCCATTGAACAGCTATAATGGAAAAAAATTTGTTGTCTATAAATTTATTGTGAACAAATACAAGGTCTCAGTTTCTCAGGCACATAAACAGGTTATTCTTCAGATTATTCAGGTTATTTGGGTTTACATGCCAGAGTTAAGTGTGTAGATGCTCCCTTTATAGTACCTTAATTCAATAACATGAGTCTTACATGCAGAGTTTGGCAGTCCAAAATAAGAACTAATTTTTAGTGTCCTCAGGCTGGACCTCTTGAGGCTTGATCCTAATCTTTCTGAAGGCCTGAATTTGGTTTTGTTCAGAGCTGGATCAGGCTAGGTCAGCAGAACTCGTAGGCTACATCAGCATATATAGACTGTCTATATATATCTGAGATATAGTTAGAAACTCTCAGTTCCAAATTGGATTGCAGGCACTTGGCTTTGCAAAGCAAGAAGGCTGCTGCAGAATACTGCTGTACTGTGGGAAACTGAAGGAATTAATCTTGCATGACCCTCTGTGTCCATAACCCAGGATCAAAGTACAGCCACTGGAGAATGAGTCAGTCTGAATCTCAAGGTCTGCACAAATCTAAGAGACTACTGTGCAGTGAGGTGAATTGTATCCAAAACTACACAGGTGATGAGCCCTCCTGACTGCCTTGACTAGTTCTACATGGACATGTTGTCCAGCTTTTCCCTTGATTTATTGATTGATTGTGTTGAGGTTTAATGCTGGATTCTCTTCTTTATTTTTCCTCAGAGTGATACCAATGGTCATTCAGTTTTCCATCCTGATTATGCTGCACTCCGCTCTTGTGCTGATAACTACGGCAGAGGATTACAAATGTTTACCCTTAATGCTCCGGAAAACTTGCTGCTGGATTAATGAGACCTACTTGGCAAGGAATGTCATTATATTTGCATCCATTCTGATTAATTTTCTTGGAGCCATCATCAATATTGTAAGCTTATAGGGAACCAAGGAATATTATACAGGAAAAGATGATTTATGAATTATTAAGCTTGCTACAGGACTTGATAACTATGTCTATAAGCCAGCTGTGATTTAGATAACATAAAAAAGCAATGCTTCAGCTTCAGGGAATTCAATACATTGCATAATCTATGTATTTCTGAAATATCTAGTTTTTCCTCCCTCATGAGTATCATCTATTTTTAAAACCTTTTGTCGACTTTCTGTTCAACATATCCACCTTTTGAGGACCATTTGTAATTTTCTGACATGCTGAAATACTTTCTTAGAGACTGTCAATCCAAAAAATGCTTATGGATATTAAATTCCTCCTCTCACAAGTTCTCAGCTCATCTTACATTCCTACTATTATTTCGATTACTAAGAAAAAGAAAACAATTGCTAAAATAATAATTTTAAAAATTCCAATACGGCCCTGATCATCCTGATGTATTCAGCAACATGAGAGAGCTTTGCATAAATTAGGCAGATTATAATGTCAGAGAACCTGACAGGTGCTGAAGTCTGAGCCAAGAATGGAATAAATATCTCACTGATAGATTAGCAGTATCACTGATAGGAGAGTTAGTCAGAGAAGGAAAAATGCAGCCACTCATTTCTATCATTACAGGAAAAATATAAATACAGTAAATGTCAGGAAGTTCAACTGGGCTGAAAACTTCCTGAAGAAAAAGACAGTGGTGCATTACAATATAAATCACTAAGCAGTGTCTTAGAATTTAGAGGTTTTAAAATCATGTCTAATGAATAGCTTTCAGGAAAGATTTCATAGAATTAGTCTTGATCTTAAAATAAGATCACTAACACACTATCCATGCCCAATTTGTTACTTCCCCTGACTTCTTGTGCATTTTTTTAAGATTGTGTCCTCTGCAATTTTTTTTTGGGTTGATTAATCCAAAGACAGTAAAAATAAAATTATTTTTCTGTCTCACCAGTGGTTTTCTATAAAACATGAAATATTCACATGTATTGTCATATATTTAGCTGGACAACGACTTGAATCACTGAGACCTGACCTCTATAGGAAATGACAACACTAATATAATCTCATTATTTTATATGTGAAAGTTCTTCCACAATAATAATAATTTGTTCAGGAGGGAGCTGCATGCATTTAAGAACAGACAATGCATCTCAGCCTTGCAGCTTTGTGTGCTCACTGAGTTCAAATGCAGCCAACTGGAGAGGTCAAAGACTCAGACCTTTCTAAGAAGATCCATAAAGCTTTGGTTTCACCAGGAGGGCAAATGAGTCTTATGAGACTTAGCTGCATTGTTATTGTTATAAAATTAAGTTTCTGATCCTGAAAGTCTTTTTAAAAAACACCTGTACTTGTCCTTGTGACATTCTGCCCTGCAGAGAGGTGCTCTATACCTCATAAATTTTCAGAAGGTGCCATTAATTGCCTGGTGCCATGGAAGAGTGCACAGCCAGACAGGTAATACTCCTGCACTGCACTGCAGAGATGGCTGAGTGGCTAAAAGAACAAACAAGAGAGTCCCAAGTTCAAAATTAATTTGAATTTAATTATAAGAAATTGGGCCTCATTAAATGAATTCTCTAACTATTGGGAAAAAAGACTTCTAAATAGCTTGTAGACACCAGGTTGATTGCATGACCTATTAAAATCATCCAGAATAAATAAATATATATGATAGGAGACTCCATCTGCCTTAAGTGTCAAAACATGAAACAATTAATGATTTTTTTTCCTTAATTCTAAGACCGTAATGTATTCCAACTCAACGCTGCTATTTTCTTTGTATCTAATGCTCTTGGTTGGAAATACCATTGAAATGAATGCAGGTCATAACAGCAAAAAAAAAAAAAATTACATTATTAGAACCATTGTTTCATGAGTTAATTCTTATTCCCCTCTATTCTAAGCATCACAGTTGCTATTCTGGGACTACATCACGTTTTGGTAAAACCAAGTCTGTGTGATATCATGAAAATGAAGGATGGATCTCCCATATCCAAAAGGATAACTATCCACAGCAGATGAAAACAGCTTGCAGAAAGGACACACATTTAATCTGATTTTATGCTCCCAATTAAATAATTTTCTCTATAGTTTATAGCAAATTCTAAGCTCTTTGAGAGGTACTTCTTAAGAGTCCAACATCAGTCCTCTGGAAATCCCAGAGGAGCTCATCTTTCTGCTCTGGAAAGAGAGCATAGGGAGGCTATTCAGATGCTAAATATCTGCAGCACAAATACCTCCTCCTTTTCCATTTCACCTCCACAGTACATCTGCTTACTGTCCATTTATTCTGTCCTTGGTACCAGCTGAGGAGCTGGCATGGAGAGCAGCAGATCAGCCAGTCCCACCCCTGAACCCAGCCAGACAAGCAACTAGTCACCAGTGCACAACATAGCCCTGATTGTGTTTTATTTCTTCACAGCTATGGTGTGATTTTGACAAACCAATAGCCCTGAAGAACCAGACCTTCAATTCCTCTGCTTCATTTACAGACATCTGTTCCTGTCCTGAGGTATTTCTGAGGGTACTTTTGAATCTGAGGTGTGGATCCACTAAGGTTATATGGCAACCACTACCTTGTGGTGGAGTCATGGGCTCAACACTGTGAAGAAGGGAATATTTTCATCTCACCATGTGTTGATAGAAAAAACAGAGGCTAGTTACAGAAGGAAATAACCTTATGATCTAATGGGGCATTATAAATAAGATTGATCTTTATAGAGAACCTTTATGCTGGGAACACACCCAGCAATGGTTCAATGAACCTGGTGCAATATACCACACTACCTAATTTGCATTAATGTAATGGAGAGCAAAACTTACATGACAAAAACAGTAGTTAGACTGCTGTGGTTATTTTAAGATTGGTTTTGAAGGAAAAAGAAAAGAAATCTTCTCTAAGATGAGCAAGCAAGCAACAAAATCCATGTGTTGGTCATGTGTAGTAAGAGAAGTATGTTGCTTATAAAGTCATATGGCAGTGTCATGATACTGCCAGCAGTGTGCTCTAAACAGCAGGGGTGCAGACTTTCCTACAGAGAAACTGTACTAAAGAGAAACTGAACCCAGAAAAAAATGAATACTCTCCCTCCTAAAGATGTGATTGGAGTTAATTTAAATTACATTTGGACTGAGGGTGTTGATGTTGCTATTTTAAGTCTGAACAGCTCATGACCATGATTGTCTCTCTCTATCCAGTATCAGCTGCAAGGATTGCATTTGGCAGATGACTAATCATTGATAAAAATCAGACAATGAAAATATTAGAAAATAAGATATGAATAAAACTTCCAGGCATCACATTTTAAGAGAGTAATGTAACCAAGCTAGATCATAAATATTAAAAAAAATTAAAAATAAAAATAAAAAAGGGAAAAAAGTCCAAACCTGTGGCTTTATCTTCTCTCTTTAGTAGCATGGGAAGAATTAAAGTAGAAATATGATTTTCCCATTCTGAGTATTTTGTGTGTCTTGTGGAGATTTTGACTCCAAAGTAATATAAATTGTTTTCTCCCAGTAGACTTTTAGTAGCAAACTACTGCATGCAGCATCTCTCCATTTCTTCTTTTAACTATAGAGGATGCCATTTCCCTTATAATGCAATGAAAATGCCATAAAGGCACAGAAAACGACCTCTGTTGACATGGAGGTACCATGAAAAAGAGAATTTGTAATTTCATATTTTATATTAGCAAAACACTTATTTTCAAAGTGCCCTGGGCCCGAAGAGAACTTAGGACTTAGCTGAGCACTGAAATCCAAAATAATCCTTTCATACTTCTGGTTACTTGATTATTTACATAGATGCTTACCTCTGATCACCAAAATTAACCAGTGCTGTTTTCTGTTCAGTATTTTGTCTTCACTGGTGTGCTGGCAATGGTGACTTGTGCAGTCTTTCTTCGCCTCAACTCTGTCCTGAAGCTGGCAGTGCTCCTCATCATGATTGCCATCTACTCTCTGCTGACTGAGACCATCTATGCTTCCCTTTTTCTGCAATATGACAACTTTAACCACAATGGAGAGTAAGTGTTCACAGCCCCCTTTCAGGAACTGCTTTTTCTTAAGGTGATGGTTCAAGTCTTGCCAGAGTATGAGTGTATTGGATAGCAGCACAGTTAAATATGGAGTGATCATTGTAACACGCAATGACTAATTCAAAATGATTTATAATCTGTTTCTTTCTCAAGCCTTTTTATTAAAATGTTCATTTCATGAGGGAATTTAAATATCGAGCATGATTTGTCTTTTATGTCTCCTGTAGTCTATCAATGTTAACTAAAAATAGACATTGTAATGCACATACCTTGGTCATTTCTATTCTTGAAAGCTCCAGAGATACCAATTGAAAAATTCCCCTCAGTTTAAAAAAGCAGGAGTGAACAATTGGTTTTTTAGAATAAAATCCAAACAAATAATGTGCAGTTGTGAAAGTTATAAGGAACACAGGGGTGATCCTGTTTCGTAGGAGAGTGCTTGGAGGACACACTCCTCCTCCTCTCAGGTTTCTTTCCCAGCAAGAGGAACTGCAGAGAAGAACAGAAGAACCACAGTGATTTGCAGAGTCAGACGTGTAATTAGTGCTGCAATAACTGAATCTAGAGCAGCAGTAAATTAAATCATTCAGGAAAACACTTCTTCAGTCTTTAATACTTGACCAGTGTAGTATTGCAGTTGCTCGTGCTTGTAAGTGAAGATGTTCAGAGTGAGAGAAAAGCATGGATTTGCAGCACAATTAATTCTCACAACAGCCACATCCTTACACATAGCGAGGCTCTGCATGCATATCTTTCCTTACTTGCTTCCTACAGAGAGGTACCAGAGATTTGGGGTGCAATTCCTTTTTCTAATGCTAGTTATAATTGTACAGACATATCATATATCCAGAGCAGACCCCAAATCTGAAAAACGGCAGTAAGCTATACTTTAGATACTAGAAGTAGAAATCATGACAATTGTCACTAACCAGGCATGGCAAAGAATCTCTTTTGTGCGAAAATCTTGAAGAACTCTAAGTAGACTCTATTCCCTGTGTCAATGAAACTCTCTAGTGACTGCTATGATAGAAGAGTGAAAAAGAGGCAGAAATATTCCCTGGAGTAGCTCAAGACATAGGGAAATCAGTTGAGCTGCTCCACTCTCACAATAAGGGTATGAACTTAAGCTCTGATATTAGGGAGAATGAAGTTCAAGATTGTGTGCCCTGAAAATTATTTGGGTTTTTTTAGCTATATAAATTATTTGAATGAAAGGGTTTGCAACTCCTTACAAAACTCATCCAGCTGTGGTGGGTATAGCTACAACACCACAATATGCAATTGTGGTGCAAGGCTTATTATAAGTGAGTTTATAACTAAGACCTTTAAAGCTCCTGTCTTTAGCCAGTGTACAAGGAATTATTTGGGAATGTGTTCATTTGGAGGTTGTATTTTGGGCAACTTCAAAATAGGAAACATTTGAATTCCAGCATATTTGCAGATGACAAGGATACTTCCTGCTTGCTCTTGCTCTCTACTGATGACTCATCCCATAGCAGCACATTTCCAGCACAGTAAATTCATTAGGACCACAAAGTCAGTTCAGTTATCTCTCTCACTAGAAAGTTTCCTTTTGATTTAGTCTCAAGTTCTGCTCTTTCTTTCTCTAATTTCTCTGTCATAGGAGTCCTTCTCTGACAAATATCATCCAATACTTCTTTAAACATTACTATGGAAAACGGATCCAGTATCTGGACTTTGCTTTGTTCTTAGATCTCAAGGCAGACTAAAGACTGTCCCAAAACCTTTTCCAATTTCTGGTCCTCATTTATTATTTTTTTTCAAATTTCAATGTTTTATCACCATATAACAACTTCCTTTCTCATCCCCCTTCAACAAAATAATTGACAAGTATCCCTGTTCAATTTACCTCCAATTTTTTTTCTCTCATTTGCTTTACTCTAAGTTTGGCTCTACCAGTTCCCCAACCTCTTTTGTCTGTTCCCTGGGAAACATGCTTTTTTTAAAAAAAACCCTGACAAACAGAGATACTTTCTTCAGGTTTTATTAATCTTTCCACATAACTGTAATTTCTCTCAATATTTGAAACCCCCATTACTGCTTTTAACCCATTTAATTTTATTTTAAACTTTCTTTGTGCTGCATACACAGCATCTCAGTGATTTCATACAGCAGATTTCATTCAGCCAGTACCTGCCTGGCTCATCTTCTCTGCTTCCTTGTGGTCTGCAAGGGTTTCCTTTACCTCCCTTGTCACAGGCTTTTCTGGTCTCCTGTTTGTAGCTCAGTAAAACCAGTCCAGGCTCTTGTTTGCCATTTCTTTGGTCCTCTTTTAATCCACGCTATATTCCTGTCATCTCCAAACCCTTCTCACAATATGGGGATATTTAATCACCCTTTATCTCTAGCCTTATTCACAGGGCTTTTACTTTCACAGCCTGAAAGTTTCCCTTTGTCAGCTCCACCTCAGCCTTTCCCCCCAGGTTGCCTCCTGCACTCCACAGGGGCTGTTACCAAGCTCCCAGGAAGAGGCTGACAGGCACACAGCTTGCATATCACATTTGAAAGTGAAAGATCATCACCTCCTGTGTACCTCCTGTAGGCTACAATTTAGTTACTTAAGATGTGTTTCCAAATAGGGAGCTCTGCAATTACACTCCAGTTCTCTTGAACTAATTACTGAAAAATTAAATTTTCAAATACAGTGGATTTTTTAAAGAACAACAAAAATTACGAAATGAAACTTCTGAACAATTACAACACTGACAAATCAATAACTGTATTTTACTTTGTTGTGTGTTTGGTTTCTTTTTCCAGCACAGACTTCCTGGGTACAAAGGAGGCATCTTTACTACTGATGGCAATGTTCCTTTTAGCTGTGTTTTATCATGGTCAACAGGTAATGCAAACATTTTCTTCAACCTTTCTCTTTGTCCCTTGCAATTACAAGATGTGACAACAATTATTTTTGAAATACCATCTGCCTTTTTACCCTCTTGAGCACATGACCTTTCACAATTTAATAAAACCATATGCAGAATCTGATTAAAGAAAGCCCACAACTGACACTGCCTAGCATTCTCAAAGAACATGTGCAATATTCTATTCAGCAATACTCAAATTATATTTCATTCTCTATTTGAAGGAACAAACAGGACACCATTATTTTAGACACATGTGCAGTTCTAGAGGCACCTTACAGCTTCAGTGCACTTGAGTAGGCATAAACCCAAAATACAGACAGGGAATAAAAACCAGTTAATAATGAAATGACGGTGAAATAGCTTATTATGTTTATAAAGAAAAAACAACAGACTCGAGGAAATGAGGAAAATTTGGGTTAAGCACCAGTACGTACTCATCTGTGTCATGGACCACTTATAAGAATCCTGTCACATGGACCTAGATCTTAAACAGGATTTAGGAGTCTCAGAGCTTTAGGACTGATATCTTCGAGATGGAATTGAGAAACTGAATATTTTTAGGAATACATACACAATGCACAGGGAGAGAGAACTGTGGCAAATTTAGATTTAAAATAATAAATGTGTTGAATAACAACCAGCTGAAGCAGGGTGTTTTCTCCACAGTGTTTCTGGCTCTCGAGTTCTGGTATCAAACATGCTGAGTTGAGGCACACTGTATTAAAGAAAGTACCAACCACAGTTGCCTTTAGACATTGTTGACTTGCCTAAGATTTTCCCCTCAAGAACATTAGGCTGAAAAACTCCAGCATTTCTCAGTCCCCCTGGAAGGAGGCAGTAAGAGAGGAATGATGCTGTGATAAATAAGACAATATTATACGCTTTATTACAATAACTTTCTAAGCTGTGTTGGAAGTTAGAGCCTCCATTCCTTCCACAGGAGTGTAAAAAGAAGCCAACACCTAAATATTGTATTAATTTTTCTACTGTTTATCTTGTTTTCGAGGTAATGAGGAATGAGTGAGAAGGGGAAGCAATGGATGAAATGAGTTTTGCACAATGTGCAGATTTAAATTTGACGGAAAATAATGAACTGTGACATATCTTTATCAAGACAAAGTCCACTTAGGAGAAACATGGAACAAATAAGAAATGAACAACTGAAATTTGTGATAAGCTTTCTAGTATTCCCAGTGATTATTAACATATGTCATGATAAAAATCTCAGGCTTGGGAATCAGCCAAGGTACTAAGAAAAACAACACTAAAGGAGTTTAGGTGGAATAAGAATTAGGCAGAATCCAGGCAATGCTCTTCAGGATCCCAATCCTGACTGTAAATATCTGTCTTCTACAAAAGTCTGATATGGTTTAAGAGTGTTTTCCAGCCCAGAGGCCTGTAAGAAAAGCACAAGTTATTTTCCATTTTATTAAGCTTTCTTGGTTCATAAAACAGGATGGTTGCATTAAAACTGCCCTTGGAAATGGTCCCTGAGATGTGCTAAGTCCTGCATGTTCTCCCAAATGATTCATAAGGCCAGTCTATCAATTTAACAGCATCCAGTGACAGAGTCCAGGAACATTTAATTGAATTGTTTAACTTCTTATTATAGAGTTAACCTAAAGATCTCTGTATAGTTGCCAACTATATTATATATATATATATATATATATATATATATGTTCCATTCAAACCACATTAAAAAAAAATAAACTCTTCAAAAGTGTGAATTGAAGAGTGCATTAAGTCCAATTAAGCTATCCTCCAGCACATCTTCCCATCTCACAAGCTGCAAAAGTATTCTGAAGTAGAATAGCTTAAAATTTGTCTTATTCTAGGTGGATTTACTGAAAAGGATTATTTTTGTAAGATAATATTTATGGACGTTCAGTTTTTGATTAATTGACTATTGTTTTTTTATCCATTGTGATTTAAAATTAATGCTATATTTAGCACCAAAAATTTAAAATTAAATTTGAGAAAAAGGTGTGTGGTACTATCTTATTAGATTTAATATAATTGCATGTGGCAATTGTCTGCAGAGAGATTGGGTTGTGCAACATGTAGAGGACATAATGTTAGGCTTTCTGTATAATACATCTCTCTTTTCTTCACTAAGTCTTGTAATTAGAAGTGTTTCTTAAAGCTACATATCAGGGCAGGGAAACATGGATGCATTGGGATTTAAATTCAGAAATATTTCTTTAGACAATCAAACAAACTAACCTTAAACTCAACCCTACAATTCTTTTCGTTTTAGCAAATATAAGAACTTAGCAAAGCATCTTCTTAATATTTTTTATTTTCAAATCTCATTTATATCACTCCTTTCTTTCTGAGATGACAGTGTTATCTTGGTAGTCCACTGATGATGAAAGTATTTAATGTTAAAATGTGAACATAAATAACCAGAATGATGTTATCTAAAATGTAAAGATTAGCTGCTGCTATTCTAAGCTAGGCTTAAAAATGTGACATTTCCCTGTAGAGCAGCATAAAAAATCAGCTCTGGAAACTACCACAGTTTTTTCCCAAGCTCTTATTGTAATAGCATTAAATACCTTGGAGCATCAAAGAACTCAAAATCCAGCAGCAGCTCCTATTTGAAGTCAATCTTTGAAATACCTTTAGAACTCATAGCAAATTTATAGTTAATTTTTTCTTATCAGTTAGTTGGTAGAGATAAAAGTCAGTTATCTGGTATGGCTCTGTCTTCTAGCATAAAATAAAGGCAAAGGAAAGTGAGAAATGTTGAAAAAATTGTTTAAAATACTCTTTCATGATAGGATCTTTTGTTGCCATTAATTTAGGGAATTAATCATCACAAGATAGAAGACCAACATATCAGTAGAAAAAAAGTTTGTTTATAAAGCTGGCTACAGCACCCAGAGGGCAAGTAAATCACTGCCAAGTTGCATACAGGCTTTGGAAGTTTATATCAAGCCACAGGCACTTTTAGGAAGGAAAGCTCCCTAGAGTACAGCCAACATATAAGGTCCCTTGCAAAGTGCTTTGCTTTTTTTCTCCTGAAGAGTTTGCCATTCATGACTGCTGCTGTCTAAAACTGTGACCAAGATGAGTCACTAAACAATGCCTGAACCTCCTCTTAGTCATTCCCACCCACTGCAGGCTGCTCCTTTATTTTAGTTTGGTACATGAATTATATTACAAAAAATTCCTCTATCCCAGCACCTTTTGATATCTCTCAGAATTATAATATTTATCTATTTGATGGCATAATACAATTCTTTGCTGGGTGTTATTATATCGAGTAGGAGCACCTCAAACCTCCAAACATATTTTCTCTTCCAGTTTACAAATATATATATATATATTTCCATCATTTTCAGTAATGTTGTAGCTTCATAAGTCACCCCTTGTGCAAGCTACAGCATCAGCTGCCTTGAAATCTGCTTAAAACTCTGCTTCAGTGTAATGCACACAAAATCTCTGGCAGTATTGGGCTTGTCCATGTGCTGACACACATGTGCCTCTCAGGCGAGTGACACTATGCTTCAACATGTTCCCTGCTTCAGCTAGCAGACAGCTGCCATTCATACTTAAATGAATATGAATTTATATATATATATCAACAATGCATATATATGTATGCATGTATAAGCTCTGCTGTGAACAGCTTTTGTTCTGGACACACTAGACTGGAAATCATTTCACTTCAGTTTTTACCTGTGGGTATCAGGCAGTGAGACTTTGCATTTATAAACTGTGATTGTAGATTCTGATCCCAAAACACAGGCACAGAGCATTTGAGGGGATGACAAATAGCATGTTTGACTTTTTTTTAATAATATTAAAGTTGCAAATAACTGCATGTCCCAATAGTAGAACTATGTAATTTTTTGCCACAGATTTGGACACTCTCTTTGGGAGTACTTTGGGCTGTTATACAGAATTTTGCTGAAAGATGTTCGTTCTTGAGAAGGACATTCTTGCCAAGAGTTTAGAGTTAACCTTGTGCTAATTTTCTCATTTAATTTGAAAACACTTATGAAAAGGGGAATGTATTTATTTTGTATCAATACCTGCCAATACCTTATCTCCTGTCTGACTCCATTATCTAAATAATAAAGATATGCCTAAAAAGAAAATAATTTGGTGACAGTTTATATCCACTGACCATAGCAGTAATATGACAAATATTATTTTGCTCAAGATTATTCTGAGATTCTCACTGTACATAAGGCAAAGAAATAATCTCTTTTTCTGGCAAGAAAATCAAATTGTTTCAAAGATCTTCAGCAGGACTGAAGGTGGTTACATGGCAGGAGCAGCCTGCCAGGTTGGCAATACAATCTCTACTGTTATCTTGTCAGGTTTTATTTTTGCCTCATTTTTCTTTCTGAAACTATAGCTTGAATACACAGCAAGACTGGATTTTCTGTGGCGCGTTCAAGCAAAAGAAGAAATCAATGAAATGAAGGAGCTAAGGGAGCACAATGAAAACATGCTACGGAATATTTTACCCAGTCATGTCGCTCGTCACTTCCTGGAGAAGGACCGGGATAATGAAGTATGTGTCACTTTTCTGATAATTTTGTCTAATTGGTCAAAGAAAAGTAGATCTAGTAGGAAATTGTTGAAACTTATTTCTTGGTAGGATTCATTGCTCAAACATTGATAATTTTTGGTATATGATCAATATTTAAAAATATTCATGTTTTGAAGTAAAGGTTCTAGGTCTACATCTGGAGTGATGTTTCTGTGTTCAGACTCCCCAGAAGGAAACACATGGGGTCACACCCAGAAATATTCTAGCAATAAATCACCAGGATGGCTATGGGACTGGGGAACCTAAAGCATGAGGAGAGGCTGAGATCATACAACTCTAGGAAGAAAAGACTGAAAGAGCATCTCATTGTTGTCTTCAAGCACCTAATGAGTGTTTATAAAGACATTATTAGGGGCTTGGAACATCTCTCTTATGAGGAGAGACTTGGGAAGACTGGGAAGGGATCTCATTAATGAATTTAAATATCTCCAAGGCAGGTAGCAAGAGGATGGTGCCAGGCTCTTTTCAGTGGTGGCCAGGGACAGGACAAGGACCAATGTCCATAAATTAAAACACAAAATGTTCCACCTCAACATGAGGAAGAACTGCTTTACACAGAGAGAGTGGCAGAACCCTGGAACTGGCTGATCACAGAGCTCATGGAATATCCCTCTCTGGAGACATTCCAAACCCATCTGGATGCACTCCTGTGTATCCTGCTCTTGCTGACCCTGCCTGGGCAGGGGGGTTGGCCCAGACCTCCAGAGGTCCCTTCCAACCCCAGTAATTTTGTGATTCTGTGTTTTTGTGATTCTGTGAAGGCAGAGGACTGTGGAAGACTTGATCTAATTGGTCCTCCTTTGAAAGCAAACTGTACTAAATGAGATTCAGAATCTATTCCAGTTTATGAGTCTGTGAAAATCTAGTATTCGAGATTATGAAAATCTACTATTCATAAAAAAGATACGTGAATTTAACAGAATGTCTGTGCAAGTTTGAGATAGTCCAGTGTTGTAGGAGTAATTTAGAGACCTGACAGTGACTATGGAAGGAGCAAGCTGCAACAGACCTGAGGTTCTCATATCTTCAGACATAAGAGAACATTTTTGCCATTTCATTTTGCCCCTGAATTGCCTGTTTGTGGCAGATAACAAAACACTCATTTCAGAGACATACTTTGTGGCTATGTTCCTAAAAAGTGTTTGCAGTACACAAAGAAAAGCACGATAATGAAGTCTCTGAATATTCCTAAAATGAAGTTTGAAGATGGATAAAGGAAAGTCCAGAATTTGTTTTTGAAAGCAGCAGTAAGTCCCTTACTCCTTATTTGAAATAAAATAAATGTATATTATAATATTATATATTTATATTAAGGTACTGTATGATGAAATTGGATTTTTTTTTCCATGTAATGTTGGAATTATCTTTTATAATGGGAAGGAATGAAACAAGATTCACCTTGCCAGCACTGACATATCTACTGATCATGCAGCAAAAAGGAATTAAGGCTACAATTTTCTACTGTGCATTTTGGAAGTGGATGTAGCCAGACAAATTAAACTGCACAATGAGGAATCATTGTGTTCTGATTTCAAGTATCACCTAAGGAAGGATGACACAGTGAGAAGCTACAAGAAAAGGCACTTTAGAAATCACTCTTGAGAAATTTTACACTCTGCAGGTATGAAAGTGCCATAGAAACACTCCTATGTACATGAGAAAATGGGAGTGTGAAAGCAACCAGGTTAAAATGTTTCATTCAAATGGAGCAGATCTCAACACCAGCCAGGATTGTGTTCTGGCATATCTGCAGTATGGATTTTCAGGGATTAAGTTTCCCATCTTACACTTTCATTCACGTATGGTCATCTACATAATAATCTTCAGCAGCAAGCAGATGCCCCATGGATCACTGCGGACGCTTCAATAATTTGTCACTGAATTAAATTCCACCACCCCTGCTTTTTGTAAGGCAATTTCCAGAGTAACTATACTTGGGGATGATTTATGCATGAGCTGGCAGACAGTAAGATCTACCAGATTTCTGTGCAATCAATCCTGCAGTTCATGTCTGGCCATTAAGTTAATTTCTCTGCTCTCAAAAAAAATGAATTCCCAAATGTGTACTGTAGCATTTTCTTATGGATGTATTATTTCTGTCCTTATGCTTCTTACCAAAAATAGAAAAATGGAGCAACTGAAGGCTCTGGCAGTTGTCTTCTATCTTCATGATCCAAGACAAGAGTATGGCTGAGTGTATTCACACTTCTCCTAGCACACACTGTCAATTCTTTCATCCACCAATTAATGTGTGTATTACCTTTTTCTATACCCACAAAAAGGAATAAGAATGTTCTTAAAGTATGGCTTCCACAACCCTGAAGATGCTCTTCAGTGAAAGAAAAGGTGAGGCAGTAAGGGAATCAATCATGTTTCCTCAATTAAAGCTTTGTGGTGGCTTTGGAAACTAGAAGAATTTTCCCACTTTTACTCTAAGACACATTGTAAAAGAGCCTGGTTAAGTAGAACCATTAGCAGCAAATCAAAGAGCAGAGCAGAGGTTCAGGATGCTTTTCTAAGGAGAAGCAGGATGAAGAAAGAAGAGCCTGAATTGTTCATGTCAAGTGTATGGCAACCAGCAGTAAATCTTTTTATCATGAAACCAAAGCATTAGAATTTCTTAAAGCCACTAACAAGAACTTTGAGAAAAAAATACTTGAAGTCATAGCGACATAAGAAAGGTTCATAAACAGAAATGGAGGTGTCCACCATTAAGTAAAACTACAGAAGTTAAAGCCAAGAAAAAAATCAAGGAATAATACATATGATGGGTAATATATATTAATATATATTAAAGGTAATATACATTAGACAAAAGAAAAGCTTACCAGGAGTTGTGGTAGCACTCCTTGGAATCTTTAAAGTTGAAATTAGTTTTTTATCTAAAACTTAGCTTTAGTTCAAGCAGGAACTGTCCACATTTTACATAAGCAATGGCACAAGCCCCTCAATAAATAAATGTGTCGTTCAGTACCAGAGTGAATTATATAAATATAAGTGGGAGCTTATTCCAGGGCATACTTTATCCCAATAACCTTCTCTGACTGATCCCTTATAAGCTGCTTTCTGATCTCCCCAGTAACTCCATTATCACTCTCACTTCTGTTTCTCCCTCCTTTCAAACCCTAAGAGCAGGAACATCTCCCAGACCCAAGCCATCAAAGAGCTCCACAGCCACCTTAGGAGAACCAGAGTTTACCAGACAGTAAGGGTGTTCTGAAAACTTGGGAATAAGCAAACTTGTAAGGAGCTGCAGTAGTGTGAAGTACAAATTATCCACCAGAAAATGTGATAACTGGTAGTTGTATTTGGCAATGCATACTTCATATCTTCAAGTCATTCCCCATATAAATCAAAAGCAAAATTTCTGTTTCACTTTTGCTGGTGTAGCTCCTTGACTTGAGAAGGAGAAAGAGTAGTCATTCAAAGAAAGGGAAAACCCTGCCTATAATCTGCAATAAAAACATTAAGAGCTGTCAACCTCCTCCTGTTGGACTTGGCTAACCCTTAATATACTAATACCAACATTAGATGTTAAGGTATTATGCATGGCAAAATTAAGAAACCTATTTTAATTGCTGCCAATTACATTTTCTCCCTTAAGTTATCACTTTGTTTTTCCTCATTGTTTTTTTAGGAATTATACTCTCAGTCCTATGATGCTGTTGGTGTGATGTTTGCTTCTATTCCTGGATTTGCTGACTTTTATTCTCAGACTGAGATGAACAACCAAGGAGTAGAATGTCTGCGCTTACTGAATGAAATCATTGCAGACTTTGATGAGGTAATACCAGCTGCTGATAGTGTTTAAACTATCAGTTTCCAAATGGCAAATATGTCATCCTAAATTATAAAATTTGGTAATTACTTTGCTTCCAATAGTTCTCTGATTTTTTTTATTTTTTTTTTTTTTGCTCATATCACAATTGTCTGGCTTCCTTTTTTTTCCCCTCATCCTGCCAAGCATTGGTTTGAATGATCTAATGAGATAGAGACTGAAAGCAATATTCAAGTATAAACAGCCATAAAAGCACAAATCCTCACCGGAGTATCTGAAAGTAGAAAATACTTAGTTCTGTAGAAGAAAGAAGTATGAACAAATCTGCAACTGTTCTGGAAAATAGTGGTCTAAATACAAACAGGTAAAGGTGTTGCTTTAAAGGTGTTGGTTGAATGGACTCAATGAATATTAAAGGGTAAAACAGTGTCCAGTTAAATGTGAAGCACACAGCTCAGAAGAAAATGTTAGGTAGAGAATGAAAGGTGGTGGTGCCATGAACCGAGGACACTTGTCTGCTTAGGAATTTTATAGAAAGATAAATTAAGTTCAGGTTCTCGTTTCATAGAAGAATTTAGAGGTGAAGGGATTTTTTATTTAATGGAAATGACACAGAAAGGGAAAAGAATTTATTTAGGTATTCTGTCCAGTTAATTTCAGGAAAGTAACTGAGAAAGTGACAAGACAAAAAGGAGAAGTCAGATCCCCAGTGTAGCTATTGCTAGGTGGAAGCAAAGAAAACCTGGTAAGTGAAGAGGAAGTCAGGAGAAATTTACATGCTCTGCAAAGTAGTTTGTAAGGAACCTTAGACAGGTGGTATCATGTCCTGCAATGAGGCCAACAGGAATTAAGAAAGGAGACAAAGCATAGGCCAAAGAAGAGGTCTAAAAAAAATCTCAAAACTAGGAAGGATGAAAAAGTACTGCTAAAATTACCTAGCAGAGAGAATTTTAACCTCCATACTGCAGGCAGTTTTCAGGAGTGTGTTGCCCTCCTGAGATCCCTGAGTGGTAAAAGTAGAACTGGAAACACCTCTCCTTATCAATGAGATTGGACCTATGCACCAGACTGCAATGGTCCAGATAGAAAAGGGAAGGAGAAAATATGGTATCATTGATCTGTGACTTCCATCCTGGGCACCTGTGTGGGGAATGAGTGATTGCTCATAAAGAATATGCCAAGGCTAGGATCACTGACACTGAAATTGAGATTTTATCCATATAATTGGTGAGATACTAAAACTACGAGTGGGAAATAGAAGAATTCACAGGGAACATTTTCCTGTGCATTTTAACAGAGAACAAAATTTCCCCCTCATAAGAAGAGCTCTGTCACCTGCTAAGCTCCTGCAATGCATTCCCCATGGGTATAAATGCCTGCTTCTTACCTCCAGGATCTAGCACAGCTGTCAGCATGCTTCTTGATTAATAGTTTTGTTTTTATTTCCAGATCTGATTAAAATGATTACCACTCGAACTTAAATTAATTCATAGCTATAGTCTTTGCATTAAGATATTTTGTCATGCACATTCATGTAATCTTCACAACAAAATTCCTTTGCTGCTGTGGCAATTACTGAAGACAAAGTTTTAATCAAAACCCTAATACAATATTACTTTCAGGCTCCTAACACCTACTCTGTAATTAATAAAGGACCTAATTGGAGACTGTATTGTGTCCCAGACATGTTTAGTTGAAGAATAGATATGTTCTTGGTACAGGTAGCAAATGAAATTATGGGATCCCCTGCTGACTGCTAACCTGCTTGCAGCATGGTCATGTCATTAGTTTACTCTGTCTAAGCAATCTGAAAAGTGATATGCCAGACAGAGCAATTGAAAGGAGTAACCTTATCCATGGAAAAGGAACCAGAAATCATTCCAGGCGCAATGTTTCAGGGCTAGCAATGTTTCCATGTAACTATTGACTGACACTATATGATGTCAGTATTCCTTCTTTTTTTCCCTATGTTCCTTGCCAAGATTGCCTGCTGTTCCAATACAGTCCCAGGAGCAAAATGTGCAGATGTGCAGCTCAGGAGCAGAATAGCTCTGTTATCCATGGGGAAACTCTGCTTCTCAGCATCAAGTGAACACCTCTGGAGAGATACCCTAATGTAGAAATCTTAGCACAGGAGTGTAGGACATATGCACCTGATGCCATTTGTACATCCCAGGTGATTTGGGACACCCAAAGCACAGGGTTGACAGCTCCCATACTGCATTGTCAGAAAATTCACATTCTGGAGCAAGCCACTGGAGGTTTTCAAGGCAAGAGTTCTCTAGATCACACTGCACATATATGTTTAGAAAACTAATTGAGTTCCTAAGCTCAGATCAGATTCTAGGCTGTGAATTGCCTCTTTTCCTTACAGAAATAATAATAATAGATCTGTCTACAGGGCCAAAATGATGCTTCTGAATAGAAGCCGTGGTAAAAATACAAATTGACCTGGTTGGAAAATGTGATAGGTACACGAGAAGGAAATCTGGGTTATTTCTTCTTTTTAGAGGGTTTTCCTTGTTAATGCAACACATCAAGGTTACAGTCTGGACCTGTTACTTTGCTTTCCACGTAATAGATTTATGTTAGAGAGACAAAGATAGTTACAAAAAAAATAGTAAATAAATAGTGAATGTTGGAACAGAAACTGTCACTGACAACTGCATGGGGTAGGTGCCCACAGAGGAGTCAGATTGTGACTGGGTCTATCTTAGGGAGTGGGAGAATGTGGTCAGAAAGTCAGTTTTGCAGAAAAGGTGGTCGACTATTGTCAAAATACAGCCTTCAGTCAGTTGTTCTTTTCCCGTCATGGTTCACTAGTTTTTTGACTTCCAAATTATCCAGTCTTCCTGCCGGCTGAGGCAGAATACGAGGTGGTAGTTTCTGGACTGGCAAAAAGAAACAAATTTGAACATTGAACTTTTACATTTTTTTGCTATTTATATGACTGTAATTCTAAGACACATTCAGGGCTAAACTCCCTTTCTTAGAGATGTTAGACCAAAAATTAACAATATAACATTTCTGCAGGTATTGTGAGTTTTGAAGGATTTTTTTAAAATGTAATATTCTTTCTAGGCTTTTTAATCTGTCACTTGTTACAGCTGGGATTTTTGCTTTCAGAAGAGCTTTCTTGTTCACAGATTTTTTTTTATTATTTTTTGCATTTTATTTATCACTGCAGTGATTTACATAGTGTATATCACAGCAGATAGTAATATATTATGTTGCCACAAGCAGAGGTTTCAACAGAACACTGGATCTTGCTTTCAGATTCTGTGATTACTTTGCAGTTGAGTGCCATATCCTGCAATATCCTTTTTTGTACAATTTTGTACATGTGATCCCAGGGTCTGACCTCCATAGAGCCTTGGCTGTACATGAATTGCAGCATCAAGCCATTAGTTTCTTTTTAGATACAAACCACATTCTAGTGTTTGAAAATGTGTCCCTGGACTATCATGTTAAATTAGAAGCCTATTTAAATTGTTTTAACAAATGGCAGCTGATTTAGGACTGAGTTGAAATATCTTTCCCCAAAATCAAAATCCATCATCTTGTCATACCATGAAGAAAGTAATTAGTAAATAGACCATTATTTGAAGAAGGAAAGAAGCTATTGAACAGGCCATATAAGGCAGGGGACAAAAAGAAACAAACAGGAGATTTGGAAACAGTAACGAGTGAGAAAAAAAACATAACATGTGATCATTTTTTCTATATTGCATCACAGCCAATACTCTTTCCTAAAAAGAGTAATTTTAGATATGTATTATAAATTTTAAATTAGTGTGCTGTTTGCTGTTGCTTCCAGCAACCATCTGGAATTTAAAATATGGACTGTTTTCAAGCAAGACCATTTCCATCCCCTTGCCCACACACGTGGTGCTCTCAGACTGCTCACAGAGGCAGAGCTACAGGAAATTATCTTTTTCTTTAAGAGAGCAGTTGGAAGAACTGCCCTTGTGAGAGGGAAGGGTACACAATGGGCTGTTCTGGCAGTTTGAAGAAAAATGAGAAGCAGGTTAAATCTTTGGACTTTGCTGGCTTGGAAAGGAGCCATTAAGCATATGGCTTTGTGTTCCCTCCGTGCAGCCTCCCATTAGAGACAGATGGTGCCATATCTGCACACCCACAGCAAAGCTCCCAAGGCCTGTGCTGGGGTCACTCCAGTGCCAGGGGATATTTCATGTTATGCCTTTGGTGTGTTTCTCCCTTTGAATGAAAGAATCCCTTTAGTGGGCAGGAAATTCCAACTCATATGATGGAAAAAAGAATGTACAACAGTGTAGAAAGAGAAGGGGGAAAATATTTTGTTACATTTTTGCCTGACCACAGAAAGACTTTTTTCCTTTTAAACCCCAACTAAATCGAGCCTTTAGAATTGAAAGTTTGAAATTATTTTTTTTTATGAAGTGCCTTTTTTTCTCACATGACTTTGTAACCACGTTGATCCCTAAATTTATTAGATACCGTGCAGCTTATTACAAAGTTTCACAGGGTGCTTGGCATTAACACTAGCAACAAACATTTTCCTGTGATGAGGTGATTAATACGTGTATCCCACACTCTGTTATCACTTATAGAATCCACATCCTGAACTCTGCTAAGGTCTTTCAAGGAATGTAAGGCTCTGGTTTCTATTTCATGGAAAGTCTTAAGTTAAACCATAAACATGGACTTGGAATAGGGACTAAACTTTCACTCCCACTTCATTCAGTGCTTTAGTCACTCAACTAAATTTATTCTTCCTCTTCCAGACTCTCAATCTGACAAGTTCTTTATACCTACTTAACAGCCATAGCAAATCCGAAATAAATAGAGGCATTTACCATTTCCTGTTTAGTTCTTGGAATTTTTATTAGAAGGGGAAAATACATAACAAATGTATAGACTGAATGATCCAATGGACATGCTGGTGTCCAGTCTCACACTTAGAGGGAAGCAGGAGATATAAGAGGACTTGGTCTCTTACAGGATTTCTTTGGAGGCATCTACCTCCATCCATTGACTGTGTAAGATCATAGAATTATAGAATGGTTTGGGTTGGAAGATCATCTTGTTCCAGCCTCCCTGTCATGGTCAGGGACACCTTCCACTGGACCAGGTTGCTCAGAGCCCCAGCCAGCCTGTTCTTGAATACTGATCTCACCACCTTAGTTGTTGCTGTAGCAGCCCTTAATTTGCAAACTGAGTTCCTCCAGTCGACTTTTAGGAACACTGTTAAGTGATCAAGTCTTCTATTCACACAAATATACACACAGAGCTTGTCTTCACTGATATTCAGTGATCATACCTCAGGAAATGCAGGACTTGGATGCATTTCTCTTAGGCTGGAATGTGCATGTCTTTTATTATCCATTGTGGAATTTACCAAACAGCACAACTTAGCTTGCATGCACTCAGTGAGTAGATGATGTTCCAGAGTTCCAGATCAGTGTTCCCCAGAACCCAGAATAAATTGTGTGCCACTGGAAGATACCACAACTGTAAAGATACATTCTCACATCTTTAGAAGCATTTTGAGCTCGGAATTACAGAAGTAACAGTATTTTTCTTTTTACATATGTATTAGTTACTAGGTGAAGAGAGATTTCAAGATATTGAAAAAATTAAAACAATTGGCAGCACATACATGGCCGTGTCAGGATTATCACCGGAAAAACAGGTAAGAGGATAATTTTCTTTAAGAAGCAAAAGTTGTGATTATTCTGACCATTCGTATTCAAAAATATGTTATCTCTATGTTGTTCATAAAACTTGTTTTGCTAAAATAAAATAGACATTCGGGGCTCCTGGCAGACAGCAGTTGCACTTCTTGACGAATTGAAATGCCATCTTGTGCTTGGAACAAGAACCATATGGATTCTTTCCTCAAATTTAGGTTTATAGGAAAAAAAATTCCTTTCAGTCACACCAATGTGAATCTAGATCAGGTCTATCTATATCTTCAGACATACTCTAAAGCCACCTCAGTAACTCGGACAGGAACATGACTGACAACCTCCAATAATCAATGAAGAGAGGATCTATTAACTGATAGCATACTGATGCAAGTATAATGCTGCATTTATACTCTTTTTTGATACAGCCTATCTACAGACGGTATGATAACTACACATCAAAAAGAAAGAAGATCATCAGTTCAACTGAAGAACAAGCAAACCAAGCTGAGGGGATAAATAGTCACAGAGGACACACACACACACACACAGAGTCACAGCCATAAGCCTCACATAAGACAGATGAGAGAAATCCATTCATAATTCCACCCAAGAATTTGCCTGGAAACAAATTAGATGAGGCTCTAAAATACATCCAATGAGGAGTCATCTGTTCCTGAAATCTGTTTCTTTGGCAGCTGGTTCCTGTCCCCAGGAAGAGCAGCACAAAAAGGGTGTGCTGCCCCTGATCGGTCACAGGCTGATTGATCACAACTTCTGAAAAGCAGAAGCCAGATTATCATGAGCTTTATAAACCAGAAAATTTCCATTGTTTGTTAAGAATACATTATAAAACACATGGAGTGTAACTAGCTGAGCATCTCCCGCCTACAGAGTAACAAGTGATGCTGACAGCTAGAAATCCATAAAACTAGATATGCATGGGAATTTTGATTGTCAAAATGCTTCTGTGTAGACATGAGCAAAGAAGGATAGAACTCCAGGGAGATAGTTGGTTATAGCTCCTAATACTTGGTATACAGCTCCTAATCACTTCCTTTGTCTCTTGATGGGGGTAAAAATTCAAAGGGAGAAAAGCTTCACTGCCTTTCTAGGACTGATTAATTCTTCTCTTTTCTTGAACTGTAATATTTTAATGGAATTTTAATGCATGTTTTAAATATACTTGTCATACGTACATGTCTGTCACCTTGTCAGCACCTAAGAGGTGCAGGCTGCTGAGGGAGGTTGGCATGCTGTGAACAGAGCAAGTTAAGGCTAAGGACCAAGCATGGTGTGAACAGAACAGGGTGATGCCAAGGAGATGTTCATGTTCAGTATTAAACACAGAGGATGGTGAAAACTGCAAAGGGATGGACTACATGACCCAGGGAGAGATTATGAACTAGAAATTTGAAGAAAGAATTACCTTGTTTCAGAACAGATGAGAAGATGTCACACAATCATTGGGCCAAGCCCACAGCTGTTCCTCACTCTGCTGCCTCCCTTGAGAGGAGAGTCCCTGCCCCATCATCTGTTCTGTTGGTGGTCTAGGAAGGCTAAAACCTACTGCTGGTCCCCATCTATATATCAACTGCTTTGTAGGAATGAAAATGGAAGGGAAGGAGCAGGGAGTGCTCCTGTTGCCCAGTCCTGCTCCTTGCCTGCCCTAAGCAATGGAAATTAATGAACTACAGAAGAACTTTTCCTCTTTCCCTTAACCAACCCCAGCTTGCCTGACTTGCCCTGTTGTTCCTGCCATTATTACATCTCTGAGAGCATTTGAATTGATGCTTTTCCTAGGTGACAGTTTCAGCAAAGGAGAATTACACACCTTTCACTTCTTTCACTCTACTTCTTGCTTATATGGGTCATGTGCACATGTTCTCACTTGATTTTGACCCTTGAGTCTGAGCAACCTCAATGCTCTCTATATTTCCTTTCTCAGGCTTAGACATGTTTCACATGCCTTGTTAATTCTCATGATTGCCTGTCAGATTGTTGACAGAAAGTTACTTTCTCCTGCCCTTTAAGCTGCTCTCTATCCAGCTATACAAGTATAATATAATGGGAACAATTACCATTAATAGCAGTGTACCTCTCTTCCATCTAGAACGCTGAGCCCAGATTCCAAATGCAAACACTTGGTACTTGTAGGGATGGGTGGCAGCTGGGCAAATGCAAAACTTTATTAACATGTTGGTGTATAACTTTTTCCTCAGCAATGTGAAGATAAATGGGGACATTTATGTGCCCTGGCTGACTTCTCTATAGCTCTGAATGAAAGCATACAGGAGATCAACAAGCACTCGTTCAACAACTTTGAACTCCGTATTGGTAAGCGTGGTTCAAACAGGAGAGCTAAAACGGGGTTTTGTCTGCAAGAACGTGACTCCACTGAGTGTATTCCAGGAACATTGCAAGGACATGCACAATTTAGGAGAGCCCAAGTACTGTATCCTCTGTTTTCAAACTGAGTTTATCCCAGGCAAAGTCAAAAATATGAAATACTCCATTTGCAGAATAGAGACCTTGATTTGGGGATTGGAGGAGTTCAAAGTTTCAGTGAATTGTGAATGGGGAACATAATTAATTTACTGTCTTTAGTTAGTCTGGTACTAAGAACCCAGAGATATAACACAGAAAGTGAACAGGACAACCTAGATCCAACCCCGAGACTGATACTCACACAGTCTCTAATTAATCTCCCTGTATAATATTCTTCTTCAGCAAAGGGACAAAAGTAGTTTCTCCTAAACCCTGGGATCAGTACTTCTGTTTTGCACAAATATTTAATTCCATCTCTGACCTGACCAGAGGCAGCATCTCTTAATTCTCTCTGTGATGGATAAGCTATTGTTATGGATGGAACATGGCTAGTGGAATGGAGCATTAAAAAATGGCCTGAATATATGGCACATAGCAGGAGTAAATTTGATGACTTCTCATGCTGAATGGACCACTGACCAAAACAAAAAAACCCACATACCTGGAAGGGACATGTATTTTATAGATAATCCTGCCATAGAAAAACTGAAATATATTCATCAGTCACAGCATCACTATCTGATCTTCCAAACAGTTTTGAACACAAGGCTCATAGTTCCCAAGATTTCTCAAGGAACAGGCATCCACATTTAGTAAGTGTGGACCACATGCGAAGATTTCATAGAGCATGAATGCAAGACTATTTGATAATATTTCTATCACCAAAAAAAACTAAAAAGATTAAAAATTTAAAATTTAAAAATTAAAAATTTAAAAATAAAAAAATTAGAAGATTAAAAAAACTAAAAAACATATTTATTTTTCTGAAAGATATTTTACACTCTACTAAAATTATTCTTAAATCATTGTTATAGAAAAAAAATTTCTTGTCTTTTTATACATCTTACAAAATGCAGTCTTTCAATAATTTCACCAAATGCTTTAATATTTTCACTTCATGGAACATAAGAATGCAATTTCTTGACTGTATAGCACTAACAAAGTTGCCCTCAACAAGAAACCTTTCCTACTATCTGAGAATAAATTTTCAGGAGCTTTGGCAATAATGTGCAGAATACAGATGACATATAAGTATCGTGATTCCACTGATATGGGTGTCCCATAAAATATACCTGTTTATATTACTTTTCAGATTTTCTAGCTTTTGCAGATTTTTTTTTGTTTAATTTCCCTAGATATGCAGCTCTTTCTTAAGCCTGGAGATAAATGTATATGAACAAGGCTTCATCTGATTCTTAAGTGCAAATATGGGTTTTAGTCATTACAGTACACCGTTTATCTTCTCTTTTTTTCTTTTTTTTNTTTTTTTTTTTTTTTTTAATTAGGGATTAGCCACGGCTCTGTCGTAGCAGGAGTTATCGGTGCTAAGAAACCCCAGTATGATATCTGGGGCAAAACAGTGAATTTAGCAAGTCGAATGGACAGCACAGGTGTTAGTGACAGAATACAAGTGCCTGAAGAAACGTATCTGATCCTGAAGGACCGGGGATTTGCCTTCGACTACCGGGGAGAAATTTATGTCAAAGGTATCAGTGAACAGGAAGGAAAAATCAAAACATATTTTCTTCTAGGAAGAGTTCAACCAAATCCTCTAATCCTACAACCAAGAAAACTGACTGGACAGTATTCATTAGCAGCTGTTGTATTAGGACTTGTACAGTCTCTTAACAGGCAAAAACAGAAGCAAATTCTTAATGAGAACAATAACTCTGGAATCATAAAAGGACATTACAACCGGAGGACTTTGCTCACTCCCGGTGGATCTGAGGCAGCAGCCCAGGCAGAGGGGGCTGACAAAACTGAATTGCCATAATCAGCATTGTTTGTGGGGTTGTTTTTTGTATTTCTTTTCTATATAAAAATAAATATACAAATAAAAAGGGTTTAATTTTTTTTAGAAGGTGTGTGCTTTTTTTTCTGGTGTGATATTTTGATGAGATTCAAATTCCTATATTTTAACAAATGGTGCCAGCAACTCTCCCCAGCCAGCTGTGGTTAACATCTGAATGTCCAGACACAACAAGTGTAGGCCATCACTCTGCTGTGTCATCTCCCTGCAGAAAGTTGAAAGAACAAACCCCTGACTGGAGGAATTTAGAACATGAATTGTGTAGAGAGTTAATGATGGCGAAAGGAGAAAATACTGTCCACATTTTTCAGACGAAAGCAAAACAAAAGGAGATTGAGTAGGTTCTTCTCACCTTTAATTGCCTTCAAGATTTATATAATCTAGGTAGTTGCCTCATCCCATAACTACAGGAAAAATATTGACAATACAACCAAAGGGTTTTAAGGTGTGTCATCCACCCAGGTATGAGGATCTGGAAGACAGAAGAGATGAATCTTGTCCTAAACTCAGAGATTCCATTAGGTTCACTCTTAAAATAGACTAAGGCATCCTCCTCACAGCTGGGTGACTGCACTGTAGTTAAATTGTATGTTGGTGTCCAGCTGACCTCTTGCACCCATGTCAGGAGGTCAAGGCTCTCCTGGGGGCCTTATGGCACATCCATCAGTCGTGTTTGGAGGGCTCAAATACACCGTGGTGTCCTGACTGACACAGACAAATAGACAACAGAGTTACATCTTGAATGACATGACTGGAGCCTACAGCTGAATCAATTGTACAGTCAAGAAACTACTCAGATTCCCTGGGGTTGTTTTCCAGAGCTTAGCTCTTAACCCTGTCACCAGTCTGAGTTGTCACCAAAGCAAGGGTTTTCTGAGGCTGTAAAATGAGTGTGTGTTGAAGTACAGCAGGAGACAAAACTCCTTGCTAAGCTCCCACTCAGTTGCCCCAAGATGAGGGGAAGCCAAGACTGAGAATACCCTAAATTATTTGTTTGCCAGTCCTAGTGAGATGCTACAAGGCCACACCTCAGTGCTACAAGCCCTGCATCAAAATTAGGTTAACTTTTTGGGGACTGGCTATTCACCTTCAGCTTGGAAAGAGTAAATATATAGGTTTGTATATGCTCTCATGACATGATTCACACTGGGCAGTAAAGTGCACGAATGAACCTCTCATCAAGTCTGTTCTCAAAGGAGCTGGGCTTGTTTCAGTAAATACTGTCTTTAAAGTAAATCAGGCAGAAGAACAGAACCTGTAATCACACAGCAATCCCCAGATGAACCATGCCCAAACAGTACATTGCAACATACAGATTCTTTGTAAATACAGACTTGCTTTTTGCAGGCTGCTCTTACCTGGCCCTTAATAAAAATTCGGGATTCTTAGGAGCACTGCTGGTGGATTAGCCTCATTTTTAGAAGATGGCCAATATAGAAGATGGCTAGAACATCCTGACTAATATATTTTACAAAACACCACTGTTTACTAACAAAAGAGGTAACAAAACATGAAAGTTTTTAATTGTAATGAGATTTTAAAAAATGCATTTCAATGTAAAGTGACCAATGAATGGGTTTATAGGGCAATGTTTTATCAGTAAAGTGCCATATTCTGAAATAGAAAATAAGAAAGATAGACAGGTAAATTCAACAGAAAGCTGTATCACTGAATAGTGGGTCTGAAAAGAGAAAGCAATGAGCAGTCTGAAATGTTATATGTAGTGATGTTCCAACCAGTAACTGAGCTCTCATTCCAAATGTATTACTCCTTTCAGTCCCCACGAATATCACTTTTATGCCATGAGTGGAAAGTCAAACCCTTGAGCTCACCTAGGCAAGTGCTGATACTGTAGGAGATGAAGACATGGAAGTGATGATTATCTGAAGTATTTAAATTAATTTCACATTTACAGTGGTATTTCAAGCACTAAATAAGAAAGCTTTGGCTGGTTTAAACAGTACATTAACAGCTGTCCTCTCCTTAACAGCTTTTTTTTTTTTTTTTTTTTTTCTTTTGTGCTGGATGGGTTCACTTCTCCTAGTCCTCTAAATACTTAATTCTTGCTAATAGCCCAGCTTTTCTAATTCCGATTTTCTAATTCTCACCGCCTCTGCAATGACAATTCACAGTGAGTGGAAGGTGTTAACTGGATAACAGGATTGGACACTGGAGTTAGGAAGGCAACTGCACTGCTCTTCAGCACAGGCCCAAATTTCCTGCTTCTTATCAGACACAGATGTCTTTCTCTGGTATCCCTCTCAAAATCCCCATTAGCATAACTGTGTTACCAAGAAAAATCAATGGCTAGTGAAGCCTGAGTCTGTGTTGACCAGATAGAGTTTGCAAAATCAGCTCATTACTGCTAAACCAGCTCATTGTCGTGAGCAATTCTTTAGTGAGGAATTTCACTTTTTACTGTAGAAGGTAAATCCCTGCATGAGACTATTTTTCTACACTTGCTGTCTATTTGTCACCCCAGCAATTGCACTGTTTGTTCCTTTCGTATGTGGTGACCTTATAGGTTCAGCAATGTTAATTCTCATTGTAGCACCTGTTTTCTGTGGAGCACAGATATTATTTATGGTCTCAGTCTGCTGGTTGTACTCCCTGACTTTATGGTACTATTAGTGTATTCAGCTTTCCTTCATAACCATCTTCAGGGTTTCTTGCTCACAAAGGACAGGATCACAAAGGATCTTGCTCACACAAGAAAGACCTATAAAGATAAACACCTAGTAATTATCCCATGAAACATGGATGCCTGGGTTAATGAAAGCAAATTGCCTTGATATAAGACTTCAGCCAAGATAGCTGGCAAATATTGAGAACGTTCATAGATTTTCCCTATTAGGAGAAGAAAGCCTTGGCAAAATTTGACTATACTCTTTGATGTCACCTTATTTCTTTCTACAGATGTACTCTACACAGACACAAAAAGCAGCAGGCTGCTTCCTCAGAAATTTGTACCTCAGTTCCTCAGCAAAGCTCCATGTCAGGAGCTCTTAAATGATTTCTAAATAAACAGGCTGAAACCCACAGCTTTCTTCTCTGAAAAGCAACATACAATCAACTGCATCAAGGGCATCTTATGCTTTGAAGTACTCAATCATTAAAGCAGATGGAATATTGACAGTCTGGATAACATTTCTGTACCAAAATCGTTATTTTGTAGTGCTCAAGTGCATTTTTGCAACCATCTCGCCTATATTTTAGCAAAAAGCTATACCTGTAGCAAGTGCTGGTTTGAAGGGCAGTGAAGGAGTTTTTGTGTTAATTAATTTATGCCATTGACCAATTTTTATAATGTATATTTAGAAATTCACGGTTAGCTACCGATAGCAGTCAAGGTATCTGCTCTTGGCTCACATTCAGAGTCAAACCACTGAGTTTAACTGTACTGAGAACAGAGTGATAGGTGTGATATCGTTTAGAACTATGTGCTAACGAAACAAGAGATTCAAAAAATAGCTTTTAAACACAGGGGGAAAATATCACTCCCTGTCCTCAGCTTTAATCCATTCCTGATTATTTCACAGTTGTTTTCACATTTGGAAAAGCACGGCAATAAAAAAAAAATCCCATCTAATCCTTTTCTCATTAGCAGAACTTCAGTTGCCTTTCATAAGTGCACTGGGAGTCAAGGAGTTTATACAAACACCCAGCACAGAAAAGTGCCTGATAGCCAAGTTTCCTGGGGCTGCCCACTGTGGAGCAGCAAGGCAGGGAGCAGAGCCTGGCTCCACAGCTGACCAGACAAACAGGCAGAAAAATAATCAGAGGAGCAGGAAATAACCACATTAACTATCGTCAGTGGTACATGGTGAGCGTTATAATTGCACAGTCAACTTATTAACCTCCCCATCAATCTTCTTCTGTGCAGTGACACAATTCAGGGGTTGTGGTTTCCCCATCTCTGTGTTTTGCTGGAGGAGGTAAAAAAAGTATGACGGTAGAGCAGCTGGCAGATGGGAGGGAAGGGATAAAAATTCAATATGCATATCTCCAGGCACTTGAGGCTTACAGCAGTTTTTAAGGAATGCTCTCATTAGCTCTTCCAGAAGAACAAAAAAATTCCATTGTTTACATAACTTTAGCAGATAAGGCCCAATTTTTTCTAAAAATGTTCTTCTTTTCTGTCTATTTAGCCCTAAGGTGTTCTATATGTGGCAGCTGTCAGTTACAGAGCCACTCACTGATTCATTCAGTTCTTTCATGTGAAAACAACAGCTATATGCAGGGCTGGTTAATCTCCTGTAAAATGCCATCTCATGCTACGTCTCCTGACCCAGATCTCCCTCACCTTAAGGTGTTTTGTTTTTCTGGTTGTGAAATATTTCCAGATCACAGAATCATATGATATTATGTTAATATTGATATACTGAACATCTCTCTGTTTCACAGTCCATGTATCTTTTGACTGTCCTGAAATCAGTGCCTCCTTCAGCTTTGCAATATTAATTTAAAACAAAGAAGCACCACTGTTGCCACATGGAGACAAAGAAGCCATCTCAGCTGGTTTGCTGAAAATCAAAGGTTCTAAAACAAATTATGTGTGTGAAATGACTTTTGATTGCAAAACCTACTCCCAGCAGTATTGACATGGGGTACTCTAAGGGATATTATTATAGCCACAGGATATTAAATATAATTTCAATTAACTCATCACTTACTTAAAATAATAAAAATTACAACAGCCTCTTCCTATTCATCATTCCACACAGAAACTATTTTGACAGGTTCTCAGTTTTGTAAGTTTCTCTAAATCATCAAGTAATTTTGCTTCAGATGAGTGATTGCTTCTTTTGGATGTGTCCAGAACAATGCTCTGAAGATCTATCCAGGAATCAGGAGTCACATATTCTGTCTCGGAGTCTGCATATTCTGTATGGATAAGACCAAGCTTTGCAGAGGCACCAATTCATTCCCTCTGTCCCTGTTCCCAAGAAAGGCAAGACCAGAGGCTTGAACAAGCTGGGAGCTGTTCTTTAGCACTTTTTCCCATCTGAATGATGCCGGGAAGAAGATCCTAGC